CGGGCGCGGGCGCGGGCGCGGCTCGTGACGCCCGCGCCTCTCGACCCGGCCCGCCCTCGCGCCCCGCTTTGTCACGCTGCCAAGCGTGCGTCCCTGCTGATTGCCCGGCGGTCATCCGACAGATGGCGCCGCGCAGGGAAATTGCGCGCCGGCCGCTTGGCGCCGCGGGCCCCCGGATATTGCGTGGGTGTAGCAGGGAAACGTTTTGCGGTTGTAAGCTTTACCTGACTGGAGCAGGTTGTGGTGATCGGGTACGTTCTCTAGGTGCGTCTTTGCGATGATTCATAAAGACCAGGTAGGGCCTGTGTTAACTCCTGACATGGAGGGAATTCGGCAGAGCAAGCCGCTCATCCTTTGTAGCTGGGGTTTAAAAGCATCGCCGCATCGACCCTTGGGTCGGCGGCTATGTGGTAGATGGAGCAATTCATGCTGTCTGCAACTCGATATTAGCGAAAGCCGTGGTTCTGTACGGCTGGTGCGGCCTGGGGCGACATTGCAAAGGAAAAAGCGATCAGCAGTTGTCACCAGTCGGAAGCCTGTGTAGAGCGGCGACCCGTGCCCAAGGTCACTCGAGTGACGACACCGTTTCACGGCGGCCACTTACTGTGGCCTTGGGAACCGATTGCGCAAGCAGTCTATGGTCCCGCGCAGTGCCGGCGATAGGACGGCACCACGGCCATGTGCACAGCCCGGCCCCCTCGACCGCGAGCCGTCACCACCCGGCAGACGTCCGATGCACGGGGGGGGGGGGAGGGGGCGTCCCACGCACGGCCGCAAGGCCCGTGCGCGCGCATGCGTCGCTTCCACCGTGACGGGCCTGGCAGGGCGCCAGAGCGCGGCGCGGCCGCAGGGCCCGTCCAGCGGCCGGGTGGCGGCGGGACCCGTCCCATGTGCCGGTGACGGCTGCCAACGTGACCTGGTTCCTCAGTAATGTTCTGTTTATATTGTTGCCGTGTGAGCTGCGATGATCAGGCTATTTGCTTTCCCCCTGGACTGGTTGGCTGCGTGCGACAGGCCAGGCTGGTTTACGGCAGTTCGTTACGTTACGCTACGTTATTTGCTCAAGACTCACGCTCAGTGGACATAAGCACAGGTTGGTGCCCTGATGCCTTGACTTCCGTGTTGCCATTCGACCGAAGCGCCCAGAGCGTCCCGCACCCTCCCACGGCTGCGGCCGCTTCGTCGCCCCTGTGAAACCGAGCCCTCTGCAGCATGCGCCGCCCGCGCCACAGTCGGGCCGCGCTCTGGTGGCGGGGCCGGTGGACGGCCGGGCGGACGTCACGGGCCGTGCCGGGCTGCGGCGGGCACCACGACCGCCGTGACCGCGCCACTCTGAGCGCCGCGGCCGGGCCGGACCCGACCGGCCGCGGCGGCGTCCGTCTGCCGCCCGGGGCCGTTGGACGCTATCGGTCCGGCCGGACCGGGCCGACCGAGCGTCGGCCGCGCCCCGTCGGCGGCGGACGCCGTATCGGCCCTGCGCGCCGCGGCAGGGGCGGCAACAGCGCGTGGAACTAGGGGGATGGGTGCCGGGACCGACCTCCGCGCGGGAGGCAGCACTGTGTGCGTCTGGCCGTGACAGGATAAAGGGGGGGGGGGGGGGGGAGGGGAATCTTGTGCGACCGGTGTGTCTTGTGGTGGCGTGCCACGCCGCTGGCCTGATGGATTTTAGCACTGCGGATCACCTCGGCCATACCGGCTGGGGTGATCCGCCGGATAAGCGACATCCACGCCGTTAAGTGAATCCCGTGATATTGCTACTGTTGGCGGATAACCGCCAAGGACTCTAGGTGGTTAAGTTTTCGCCTTTTGTGTCCAGCCGTTGTGACTCCAGCGGCAAGGCAGGCTATCACTCCGAGGTTATCGGCTTCTACGTGCAGCTCCGTGCCTTCGCACGCCGCTGCCACTCAGTTTGCTCTCCCGCGGTCTATCAGCGATGGAGGGGGCACCGCGGTCGGCGCTCGGCGAGGTGGCCCTCCCAGTGTGCGCTGCTGCCCCAGTCAATCAGTCGTGTCACGTCGGTCCGGTCGCTGCCAGCAAACCGCCGGCCCGGCTGGGCGGCCAGGGCGCGGTAGTGGCCCGGCGCAGCGCGGTGGTCGGGGGTTGGTGACCACCAAATCCGGGTCTGGTAGTCCCGTCCAGTGACCCATTTCCAGTGGAGCAGGGTGTGTGCATGCTGTGGACGGCTCCGCGTATGGCTCACGCGCTCCTTCACTCCGTGGAATATAAATTAGTTGCCTTGGCACGCTCCGCAGCTGGCTGAGCGATTTGTGCGCCGTTGAGCCCGGCAGCAGCACACACACCACATTCCCTTGTATCGCATGCCTACGAATCATAGCACAATGCGTAGTGCACAGCACAGAGGGCTGTTGCGTGACTTTGGTCCGTTCGCCCTTCAGCTAACGGCGCCCATTAACTTGCGCTCCTCCCATATTGCAGGCAGCTGCGCGCTACCAACCCGCGAGCGGCCGCCTGCCGCAGTATCAATGCCGCTGGCAGCCGACAGGTGGCAGCACGCGAGCTGGGCGGCGCCGGCGACGCCAGCAGCGCCGCGTTGCGCGACCGGACGAAGGCTAGTGAAGTGGTGAACGCACCGGCGGATGTGGATGACGGCCAGTGCGCGCGCACGCGGCGCTGGCCGAGCACGGGCAGACGGCGCGTGTTTTCGGTGACGCGCGCGCCGCCGCGACAAGCGGCAGGCGCCACCGCGCGCTGTTCGTGCGATCCGGGCCGGGAGGTGTGCGCCATCTGCGCCGGCCGGCTCGACTACGCGCCGCGCGTGCGGCCCGAGACGCAGCCGGTGCGCGAGCGACTGGCGCTGCTGGACGCCGCCTACCACCCGGTGCTGTCGTTTGCCGGCGAGGCGGCGCTCTCGCTCGGCTACGACGCGCTTCTGCGCTCCAGCCGCTGGCAGCAGAACCACCTGCAGGCGCGGCCGCGCGGCCCGCGCTTCGTCACCAAGGAGGCTGGCGGCCAGCCGTCGCCGGCGCTGCAGACGCCCGGTCCCGCCGCCGCCGCCGCTGCCGCCGCAGCCGCCGCTGCCACAGCCGCCGCCGCGGGCGTGGTGACGCCGGCGGCGGCGGGTGCGCCGGCGCCGGCCGTGACGCCCTGCAGTCGGCCCTCCTTCCACCGGCGCAAGTCAGGTGGGTGGCGCTGCCGCGGCGGCCGGGTCGGTGGCGTGGAAGCGGGAACGGCTGGGTGAGAAGGGAGGAGGCAGGCACATGTCCAGTTGAGCTGGAAGGAATACTTGTCGGAAGCGTCATGTTGGGTGATGGTCGGTGATCTATTGCTGTTATGTTTCCGAGTGTAGGATTATTTCCTCCTTAAGTATGGTAGGCCGTGGTGACTGCTCCATGATTTACGGTGCAAATAACGTGGGCGCTAGTGTTGTAAACTGGACGGACAGCTACACGGTGCGTGGTACAGATCTGGTTTGCTCCTTCACGATAATTCTAACTGATATATGATACTCTTTATTGATTGCGATCATACCGGGTTTGACATTTTGCAAACCGCTCAGGGATGTCAATAGGCCTCATTGCTAGCCATATGTAATCCATCGAAGATTGCGGTGCATGTAACGATAGACGCCTGTGGTGATACCAGCGGGGGCTTTCTGTAGGTCACGTTTCTCGTGATCGTGACATCACTGTGGCGCTCACAAACGGCAAATGTTAAAAAAACGACTAAGGAGGCTGGCTTCATCAGCGCCGCGTCCTTTCGGCGCCGCGTTGCTGCGTGGCGCCGCCAGTCCGTCCCCCCTCTGGCGGTGCCGTCTGCCTCACCAGCGCCCACCGCCGCAGCGGGCGTGCTGAAGCGTCTGCCGGAGCTGGACGCCGCCGACGAGTGGCTGCCGGGCAACGGCCGCGTCGGCCGGCCACCCAAGGTGGCGCGCCGCTGCCGCTCGGTGTCATCGGCGAGCGGCGAGCCGCGGCCGGGCGCGCCGCGCGACGCCCGCCCGGCGGCCGCCGCCGCCGACGACGAGGCGGCCGCCTGTTGGACCGGCGGCCGCGCGTCGCCCGAGCGCGAGCGGCGGGAGAGCCGCGAGCGGCCGGCGCACGCGCGCCACCGGCACCGCCAGAACTCGTACGACATCGACAACATCGTCATCCCGGCCAGCATGGCCTCCACAGCGCGCATCGAGAAGCCCAAGTACAAAGAGATCGTCACGCCCGGGTAGGTGGTGCGAGCGGAGGCGTGGGGTGAGCGGCAGGTCTGATCCGCCTGGTGTTGGAAGTGCGGCTGGTGTGCCGTGCGATTGATTTGGAGGTGGCAACAGCGGGTTGTTTTGCCGACTGAAACAGGATTTCATAACCAGTAAAGTAGGCATTAGAGACAGAACCGGGAATAATAATAACATAAATACCCTCACTTGACATGATCAACCAATAGCTGCGCCGTGGCCGTGCCCGCCCGTAAGACAGCTCATTGTTTGCGCCGTCTGTCTCTGCTCTATCCTTTTGGTGACTAACTGAAGACTCCCCAACAATTGTCTTGTTACGAAACACCAATGGCTGCCCTGTGACTACGTGGATGCTCTGTAAGATCGTCCCCGGTTGAGGGGCGAGCCGACCAACCGCAGACTGGCGCTGTCACCGTTCTGGGGTGGCCGTTTGACCTCTGACTTGTAGGACTTGCTATGCCTCCGTGAAGCCGTTGTTGTTCCTCCCCTCGTTTTCGGGCGACCCGTGCGGAGCGCCAGCGCCGGCCGCGCCATCCCGTCGTCGTGTCCCGCCTGGACCTGACGTGATGGCCCGTCCGCCCCGCCAGGTGGCGCACGGTGGCGCTGCAGCCGGCGGCCGTGAACGGCGACGCGGCGCCTACGCCGCCGCCGGAGCCGCTGGACGACGCGTCGTTCGAGCAGCGTCACCTAGCGGCCGAGCTGGCCGAGCGGCGCCGGCTGTATCAGTCTGGTCAGATGGCGGCGGCGGCGGCCGGCGGCGGGCCCGGCCACGGCCGCGGCCGGCGTGCTCACACGCCCGACGCGGCGGCGCCGGCCGACGCCGCAGCCGGCGCGGGCGCCGCCGCCGCCGACCGGCCGCACGTCCTCCGATACGAGTACCTGGCGCAGGTGAGGCGGCCGTCGGGTGGCTGGCGCTGGTGGGTGGGTGCACGCAGCGCGTGATGTTGGATTATCTGCTGGATGTGGTGGAAAGCACCCCTGCCACGGTTGCGTTTCAACTGGAATGAGTTGAAGTTGTGGGAGTGGTTTTGGCGTTGTCACCGATGTACGATGCTCTGATCCGGCCAGCGTGCTTCGCGATAAAGACCCGGATCATGGGTGAGTAATCCACGTAGGGCCAGCATTCGATATCAGGAGCAATCAGCAACGCGGGAGTGCACGTGGCGTCTGCTGACAGTGTGGCGGGGCGGTGCTCGGTCCGTGCGTGGGTGTTCTCAGAGCTGATTGCGTCCGATGTCTGCCGTTGGTGCTGATGCGGATTGTTTGGTCGGCAGCCGTGCGGGTTCCCGGGCCGACAATTCCCGCTGTCGGAGCGTCAGTGGAAGGAGCTGCTGTCGGCCGCAGACAGCGGCGTCCGATCCCCGCCGGCGGTGAGTAGGAGCGGCGGGCCCGCCTAGCCGCCGGCCCCGGCCGGTCGCTGGTACCGTCCGGTATTCGGCCCCAGCCGGACCGGCCCGGCCCTGAGCCGGGGCTGCGGCGAGACAGCACTGCGTGGGGAGGTCCTTCGAGCTGGCGGCCTGGCCGTCCGGCGGCGGCTAGGTAAATGACATCACGGCTGGGTGACGCGCGATGCGGTCGTGATGGACCTGACATGAAGTGGTCTGTAGCATAGCGCGTCTGTCCGCATGTAGATACAGGAAGCGTGAAGCGTGTAGTTCGCGTATACATACAAATGAGCATATAACATGCCGGTCTGTAAGGTGTTTTCATAATGTCATGCTGTCTCCAGGTTTCGTGTTGTCCCCGGGTTCACGCGGACCTTCAATATCCGCCGCTGCCCCTCTCGTTCCCAGTTGTGACCCGTGTTTGTGTGTGTGTACATCCAGTGGCCCATCTGCTCTGTTCACCCCGCCTGACCCTTGCGCGCCCCATGTTGCAGTGGCGGTCGCCGGTCTTGCTGGCGGGCAGCAGCACGGAGTCGGCGCCGGAGACGGAGGAGCAGCGACCGCCGCAGTAGCCCAGTTCACTCATCACACCTCATCATCGACTCATGCATCCATCGCGCGCGCCGCTCGGTCCGGTCCGGTCCGGTCTCACTCACACACTCCTCCAGTACCTGTCGGCGGCCCCGGGGCGCCTGTACATATAGTGGCGCCGCTGCGTCTTTTTATTCATCTAGTTCACTGCTGCGATAGCGTCCGCACGGCGGGCGGCGACCGGTCATGCGTGTGCCCGCGTGCGTATGCGTGCGTGTGTGTGTATCTGTGCGTGTGATTGCATGGGGCCGCGGCGCCGACCGGATGGCGTATTTGTTTGAGCCTGGGTCGGCGGCGCGGGGCAGGCAGAGCGTGACCCACAGGCTCGGCCGGCCCCGGCCCCGCATCGCCCGCTCGGTAGACGTGCGTTCCGTTGGTACGCCGCGCGTAGCCGCTGCAGCCCAGAGCGCGGCGAACACATTAATAAACGTTGCGACAAGATGGCGGCTGCGTTCTCGGAAGGGCTGGGCGAGAGGCAGCGGTTTGAGAGGGAGGACCCGGGAACGGTACGGAGACTCGAGGCGTGTGATGTCTGGTATGACAGGGCTTGCCGTGATGAAATGGGCATAGCAGCGGTGAAATGGACGGGCGGCGAGAGAGGAGAGCAGCTGGAGCTAAGTGTAATTCGACGATTTTCGTTTGTTGTGACGGCATCCCGTCATAAGCTCGACAGTCGAGAAAAGTGGCTCGACTTGCAACGATTAGCCAATCAAAGCGAATGGGACGGGCGAATTATTGGAGCGCACTTACTAGCATTTTAGATAAGTAACAGAAGTTTTCAAGCGTGAGGTTAGCCTGCAAAAATGCAAAACATTGCAGACACCTGCCGGAAAATAATGTCTTGGGGCACGGGAAGGAGGCAGCGTGCATACCGATGCAGACGATCTGCGTTGGCAAGCCGGGCCGATGCATGACACGACTGAGCTGCGACGAAAACTCACCCAGCAACCACGTGACAACGCAGTCTGTCCGGGAAAAATCTAAGGCATGGAGATACGTGTGAAACTGCCTGTTTATAACCCAGACTCATCTTTAAACTATTGTAAGGTGCGCCAGCACAACCTATTGCCTGTATCACGATATCAGCCGGGTTTTATAAGCGACAGCACACGGGCAAGCAGGCAGCAGAATGGCTTTCGCTTCCCGAAAACCATGAATCAGAAGCGCGGATAACACTCCGCTCTCAGAACTGCTACGTAATTAAATACCAGAAGCACCGCCCACAGCTGACTCTGACGTTCCTGGGCGACCGTTGCAACTCCGGCCGGAAACCCGCATCAATAACCGGCCAGCAGGCGCACCACGTATATTACAAAACCTCTCAGGGCCGCGGCCGTCACATGATCGCCCACCGGCCCACCGGACAGTCCCGGCCGCAGCTGGGCGCCAGCGGTCACGGTCGCCGGCTACAGCTTCCAGTCGGTGGATAGCCGGTCTTCGCGCCACGAGAGCACGCCCTCGGGTCGGTGGAAGGTGAGCGCCACCTCCTTCACCTGGCGACCGAACTCGGCCTCTAGCATGTCGTCGTACGTCGTCTCCAGCAGCTCGGCCAGCGGGTGCTCCAGCTCGGGCAGCTCGCGCTCGGCGAACGAGGCGGCGCGGCTGACAGCGGGCACCAGATGACTGCGCAGCGAGCGTACCTCCCAGAGGGCGGACTCGGCGGCGCCGCAGCGGGCCGGCTCCGGCTCGTCGGGCCGGTACGGGTCGGCTGGCAGCCGAGTGGCGCCGCGTGGGTCGTCCGTCATGCGCTGCAGGCCTCGGTGCCGCACCATCAGGCTGCAGATCAGCCGGATCAGCATGGTCTGCGTGGGCGTCGGCGCAGTCAGCGCCAGCCGCGACAGCCGCTTCACGAAGGCGGCCACCAGGTACTCGGGCAGGTAACCCGAGCCGAGGAACAGGTCCACCAGACGGAAGAAGCGCGCCCGCTGCGGGCCGCGGAGCGCGTTGGGCTCCAGCAGTGAGTACAGCTTGGTGTAGAAGTCAGGGTACTCGAGGTTGTGGTGCTGCATCAGGTAGAAGACGCCCTGCAATGCTAGAATGCTGACCACGCCGCCCACCTGGTACGAGGTCAGCAGGAAGTCAGTGAGCCGCAGCGGGTTCCGCAAGTGCGGCAGCACGCGCTCCGGCAGCAGCGCCAGCACGCGCCGGTACAGCGACGGCGGCAGCGGCAGCTGCAGCAGGCGCAACCACAGCGCGTCGAAATGCTCCAGCGCCTTCGCGTCGGCCGCGACGCCCACCTGCGCCTTCCGTTTGCCGCCGCGGACCTTGAACAGCTTCAGCACGTGGAACAGGTTACACGAGAGCAGCTGGGTGGGCGCGGCCTTGGTTTCGGCCAGCGCTATGGCCAGCGCCCCCAGGCCTCCCCGCTGCACGTCGTCGTGTTCGATGTGCTCTGAGAAGCGCGCGATGAACGGCCGACGGTCCTCCGCATCCGACAGCATAAAGGCGAACATCTGGCGCAGCTTATCGGCCGGGAACTGCGCCTGCGCCTCCTCCTCATCACTCACGATGTCTTCGGCTTCCGCGCTGTCATCCGAGCCGGCGCTGCCGCCGTTTTGGACGTCGCTGATGGCAGCAGGGGCAGGCTGAGCCAGCTTCTTTCGCTTTCTTGCTGGTGCCATGCCCTGAAAGAAGCAGAGGCCATGGTAATTTTGGTCATAAAAGCAGGGAAAGCATGTTCAATAATCTTGAATCATACCACTGAGCCATTATTTATACACTCAGTGAACCATATCCATGCCCAACATGAGCCACTATACATGCCATGTTGCTGCACAAATGCAAAATGTAAACATTTAGACATACAATCTCATAATAGCATACACACCTAAGTACATATATAGCAAACAGCAGCAGCCTGGCATATTTGTGTAGCACTGCCCTTTCCAAACTAATGCTTTTCACTTAATTTCATTTAAGAAGCTGTCTTCCAAAAATCATATCTCTAACTGAAAGCAACCAGGATACAAGTTGTCTTCTTAGGCAATGCCATGGTCTCAGCAGTCACTGCTGGCTGGTTAGGGGCTGAGGTGGGCATAAGTTAGCTCCTGCATTTTCAGCCATGCAGGCAAACTTTTAGTTCTAATAAAATATCCTTAGTCACTCAACCCAATTGAAATGTTAGATTTTTAGTCAAGTATAAAGTAAGGTTGGATGCTTGCTTAAGACAGATTACCACATATCCTCTACAAAACTAGGTACAAACCAGGTACAAAACCAGGTACAAAACCAGGCAACCCAGGCACAGTTCTATGTTTGACATTGAGAGCCAGTTCCTCTGTGATGTGCTTCCTGAGGCTTGAGGTTACCTGGGAACTTTTTTCATATTGTGGATGATAATTCAGACCATCAACAAATCTGCAGCTTTCCACAAAAACATTTTTTCACCACACATGTGAATGCATAACCAAGGCCTTGTGCACACTACAACACCAACAAATCTACAACCCTCATAAATAGCTTACAATATATATATATATATACATACATATATATATATATATATATATATATATATATATATATATATATATATATATATATATATAAAGCAGGCAGAAATACATTTGAAAAGATAAATTTGTTGGTTTGTAAACACCAGCCAATCTAAGGCCTCCATGCACACCACTTGATATCATGTGGTTATAATATTATGCCACATGACATGATCAATAGTTCACTACACTGATCAGCTGTCATGCAGCAAAACTATCTGTTAGGTTGGATGACACAACCTGGTTGATGGGTTCAGGCAAACCCAAAAAATTCCACTATGCCAGATGTTGACATGACATTGTGCATAGAGCCTAGAAAATGTTTGCACTAAGCTTACATGAGGCCAAATTAGGTTAAGTCATTAAAAAACCTTGTTCCTGAAAATTTTCAAGGACATTTTTGCTTTTAACTACATATGCACTATCATTAACAGTGAAAACATTGGCCTTGAAGTATGCAAACATAAAATAACATGTACTGAAAGTGGTGATGACGGAGTGCTGGGACACTCATATCTACACCATGCATGACATAATACTGCTGCTAGAGTGCTGCTGATATGCTGGATATGCTGGCATACCATCTATTTTTTGCATTCTTGGTTTCAGACCATTTGTACTGAGCTGTTCTCAGCACTGCTGAACAAGGCATATTGTTATTTGTGCCCTGAGCCCACAAGTGCTGGGGCAGCAAACATCCTGGACCTCAAGCCACCTAGGCAACTATTTGCAATACACTCCTAAAAATTAGAACATTTTTCCTACCATCTGTAAAATGACTCAGGTAATAAAATGACTAAGGTAGTAGTACGCTTCGGACATGAGACGGGTGTTCAGGATGTTTGGCGACGTATAATTGTGACGGGGAATTTAATTTCGTAAAACACCAACAGGATGACAAATTGTACGTAATACGCAACCCCTATTCGTTTGCAGCTGAGTACATAACAATACTGAGGCGTAGAACTGTACACACTGTACGCAAAAGCAATACACAATGTAGAAATTCATCCTACCGTATCTGCGATCTATCCCCTGAATACACGCTAACCGTATTAGCGCACGTGTCGTTCGTTTTGCGAAGTGAGCCGTAAGCGTGTTTAGCCCACCAAATAGAGACTCTTTTTTGGCGGCCAAATTTTGCACAAAACTCTATACTACGAAATATTAGTGTTTATTTCGGCATGATGTTTCTTGTAATTGACTAGAATACAGAAAAGGTGCAAGATAGGTAGTTAAAAGAACATTAAGCACTTAGTTTCTGTACGGTAATAATCCACATCTGTATGTGGTTGGGATGTTTTATCTCGTACAACTTGCAGCGTTGCATGTTCTTTCTCTAAATACAACGCCAGCCTTTAAAAAGGTAGCTAATTAATGCTACCATATCACAAAGTCTCCGAATGTCAACAAAGCGTGATTGATTCCCTGTTTATTTATGTTGCCGATTGGTGTGATGTAGGGACTGGCGTATGTTAAGAGCCCGTGGAAAAATACAAGTGGAGGAGAAGGTGCGCATATCACGTCGTGGAAAGGCTCCAAAGCTGTGCTGATTTGTGTGTGGGGTGAGATAGTGTAAGTTATTACTTAGAAACTAGGTGGGCATCGTCGAATGCATTAACTGCGGGTGGGATGGGGGCAAAGTCGTTTAACGAGGGACAAAGAGCTGCATTCCATCCGTGAAAATAGTAATGGTCTCTTTTCTTAGTGGCGTTAGCCTCCCTCTCCTCCCTCATCCCACCTTTCCTGTTGGTATACCTGGCCCCTTAACCTGAACCAGTACCTTAAAGCTCAGTAACTCCTCATAACTATCCTTTTAGCTCAGGTTCAACATGAATGCACTTGGAAACAGGTGTCTCTGTATTGATAAATCCAGTATAACCCAACATCACGCCTACAGGTTTTGCACCTTGGAAAAGCTGTGAGAAACTGAGCACAGGTAACCATATGATTGTGTTGCATGACAAGCTGATGAATCAGACTTGGCAGATTATGTTTGAGCATTGTGAATCCTTTAATTTGGATACAAATGTACAAGCCCTGAAATCAGATTTTGAGTTCTAAATGTACTTCAAAACCTAGAGCCAGAATTTGGTACATAATTGATTTCTTAAAATATGTGATTCCTCAAATACACCAAAGGATGTAAATATGTTAGCAGTTATCCCTGCATTAGGCATAGTTGCCTGTCTTCTCTTCTGTAGCATTTTATTAGTTAGTCTTTTGATGCAAGATTTTAACCTATTTGGATCTTTTGGAACCATAAATCTAAATCCATATACTCTAGGTCCTAAACTCAGAGACATAGTGAATTCTTAGTTGTATGCCTGACACCAGAGCAGCTCTTTTGCTCCATAATGATGTCCTTCATGAACTATTAATCATCTACAGGGGAATCCAATATAAGCCAACACCATGCCTACAAGACCACATGCCATCTTTCCTCCCCCAGCCTGAATTGCCCCAGGGCCAGCTATGGCAGACAAGTTCGAGTTCTCGATCGACCGTGGCGGCACGTTCACGGACATATACGCGCGCTGCCCGGCCGGCCGCGTGCGCACGCTTAAGCTGCTCTCCTCCGACCCGGACCGGTACCCGGACGCTCCGACCGAGGGCATCCGCCGCATACTGCAGCAGGTGAGAAAAGGGAGATGGCCCCTGGCCGGCGCGGTGCTGCTCTTGTCGGGGGAGGAATGAGGCGCGAACAGATCGTGGCTGCTGGCTGCTGACTGGTCTGGTAATGGGTGGTGGGTCAGTTGAATGTGTTGCATGGGAAAGAGATTGGCCAGTATTAATGGTGCCAACTCTGATGTGTCTGTGTGTGGAGGGGGGGGGGGGGGGCGGTGGGCGGGTGCGTGCGTGCTTGCGTGCTTGCGTGCGTGCGTGCGTGCGTGCGTGCGTGCGTATGTGCATGCGTGCGTGCGTGTGTGTGCATGCGTGCGTGCGTGCGTGCGTGCATGCGCGTGTGTGAATGCATGCGTGCGTGCGTGTGTACGTGCGTGCTTGCGTGCGGGAGGGGGCTCCACTGCTTCCATTCCCCAGGCTGCGGCGATTGCCTCGGGGTGAGTCGTCAGTGCCGTGTGAGGGAGGGAGCTGATTGGTCATGCACATGGATTGTTGAGTCTCACTCAAAGCAGTCTGTCTCCCAAACATCGGCTTGGCTCCTCGTTTCTCAGAGCACCACAGGATCGCTGGCTGGACCTGCAGCAGGATAAGTCTTGTGAAGCCCGCGCGCCTGTGTGCTGAAATTCTCAGCGTAGGTCTTTGACAGCTCTTAACTAGTTACGCGGCGACCCGTGACATTCGTCCTTGAATGATAAATATATCACTTGCTACGGAAAGCAAAACATGGGTCGTTAGGATGCATTTAAAAAAGAAGATTTGATCCAGACCTTTTAAATGGGTTGAATTATCAGATCGAAACTCGCGCTAAGCAGTGCACGTTGTGCGAGCAACATGCCCTGCCATCCGATCGTGCAACTGCAAGCCATGGGCAGAGTTTGGGGGCGGAAGTGCCGCAATGCTGCTTCGTTCGGCTCGGGCCGCCCTGCTCTCTTGCATCACCTGACCTTAAGCGCGGCGGCTGCTACCGGCTGCAGGCTATCGCAGTCAGGGGAAAGTCTGACCAACTGAGCTGTCGGGACGGACGACATATCGTGGAACTAAAGGCAAGGCCGATACCTTGCGTGAAACCTTGCCCAATTGACCCCCAGGAGACGGGCAGGCCGTTCCCGGCGGGCGAGCCCATAGACTCCAGCGCCATCTCGTGGATCCGCATGGGCACCACGGTGGCGACGAACGCCCTGCTGGAGAAGAAGGGGGCCGACATGGCTCTGCTCATCACCAAGGGCTTCAGGGACGCGCTGCACATCGGGAACCAGGCCCGGCCCAAGATCTTCGACCTGGTGAGATGCGGCCGCTAGGCCCGGGCTGTGGCGTGTGTGGCTTTACGCTATGGTAAGAGGTGCCTTATGTCATCGCGGTGTAGTGCATAGCTGAAAATCAGGCTTTTGGGATGTTTGTGTTGGGGTTGTGTGTAACTAATGCAGTAGATGTTAGGTTTTGTAACTTTTTTACAAGTTCAAGTTCCCTCAGCGCTGCATAAAGAATGCTGTCATAGCATCATAGCATCATGCAATTGAGTCCTATTTGTGACACAAGTCCACAGTTGTACCACTATTGCCTTGACAGAGTTGTCTGGCACCTTTGTGGCACGTTACCAGTACATCCTGTCTTCCAGCGCGCGGGCCGCTTTTGACCGCGATCCAACAGCCGTTTAGTCCGGTTACGTGACCCAGACCGTCCGCTCTCGGACACGTTCCAGTCGGTCGCCTGCCCGGACGTACTGTACCGTGACGTCATCGAGGTGGACGAGCGTTTGTTCCTGGCGTCCGAGCGCTGCCAGATGGAGCACGACTACGAGCGCGTGACGTCACGCTCAGGTCAGTCCTCACACAGGCCGGGAGGACCGGCCTGTGTTCAGGTCTCGGGGCCAGCTTTGGGAGAGATGGGTATAATTACCAGTATAGTGCCCCGAGCTGATTGCCCTGACCAAGAGGAGACGCGCAACTGTACCCCACACGATCGATGGGATCGCGCGCAGTGATTGATGCGCAGTCGCCGACCACAACCCTTTGCAAAGTGCGACTCGGAGGGCTGTCCTACGCAGACGAAATCGCATTTATTGGGATATCACAATCCGCACATGCAACACACAAGAAGTCTGCAGTCGTGTTATTAAACGGCTCTGTGGCAGACCACGTTACATTGCTCTATGCTAAACCGACGCTCTAACGTTCTTGGCTCCACATTAGCTGTGACGGTGAACTTGCTGGCGAGGATGCCGAAGCTGGCTGCCGCAGCTTATTTGATCGATGATCCCCATCCGAGCAGTGCCGGTAGTGACGCCGGCGCCCGGTATTCAATCGCTGCCCCGCCTCCCGCAGGTCACGAGCTGCTGGTGGTGCGGCGGCCCGACCTCACCGCGCTGGAGCCGCAGCTGCTGCGCCTGCTGGACGCCGGCATCACCAGCCTGGCCGTGGTGCTGATGCACTCGTACCTGTGAGTGACGCGGCGCCCCCCCCCCCCCCCCCCCCCCCCCCCCCGCCCGGCGAGGCGAGGCACCCGAGTCTGGGCACGGCCAATAAGGAAAACACGTGCCGTCCCACGTCCCAAGCTCCTCTCTCGGTGTGTGTATGTGTGTGTGCATGTGTGTGTCTGTGGTCGTTGTCCGGAGTGGTAGCGGTAGCACGCTGGTGGTGGCAACCTGAGTGTGCCGTGGGAGCCAGTGACAGCCAGTCAGCTCTTCACTCGTGTCTTAAGGCCGCGGAGGGCTGCCGTAACCCGCGATCCGTGAGAGCCGCCCACCTTCACCGTCTAGATTCCGAGAAGTCGGCACGTACCGGCTATCTTAGGATATTCGCAAACGGTGCAAGCAATTATACCGAGAGTGTCGTGACCTGGACTGGGTATCAGCGGTGGGCGCTCAGTTGTCACTCGTGTGACCCTTCACCAGGTACCCGGACCACGAGGTGGCAGCGGACGCTCCGTTGTGACCCGTGTGACCCATGCGCAGGTACCGGGACCACGAGGTGGCGGCGGACGCTCCGTTGTGACCAGTATGACCCATGTGCAGGTACCCGGACCACGAGGTGGCGGTGGGCGCGCTGGCCGAGCGGCTGGGCTTCAGCCATGTCAGCCTCTCGTCGGGGGTGATGTCGATGGCGCGTCTCGTGCCACGCGGCTTCACGGCCGCCGCCGACGCCTACCTCACGCCCTGCATCAAACACTACCTCAAGGTGGGCCGCCGACGCCTGCCTTACCCCCTGCATCAAACACTACCTTAAGGTGGGCCGCCGACGCCTACCTTACCCCCTGCATCAAACACGACCTCAAGGTGGGCCGCCGGCGCCTGCCTTACCCCGTGCATCAAACACTACCTCAAGGTGGGCCGCCGGCGCCTGCCTTACCCCGTGCATCAAACACTACCTTGAGGTGGGCCGCCGACGCCTACCTTACCCCGTGCATCAAACACTACCTTGAGGTGGGCCACCGGCGCCTGCCTTACCCCGTGCATCAAACACTACCTCAAGGTGGGGCCGCGACGCCCTGACCTTACCCCCTGCATCAACACTACCTCAAGGTGGGCCGCCGACGCTGCCTTACCCCGTGCATCAAAACTACCTTAAGGTGGGCCGCCGGCGCTGCCTTACCCGTGCATCAAACACTACCTTAAGGTGGGCCGCCGGCGCCTGCCTTACCCCGTGCATCAAACACTACCTTGAGGTGGGCCACCGGCGCACCACGCGCCTGCCGTACCTGGTGGCCGGCTGGAAATTATGCGAGCGTTAAATGTGAGGGATTTGGAGGCTTGGAATGGGATAGCTTGGAGCTTGGAGTGCATTACCAAATGCAAATGATTGCACGGTTGTTGGACTGTTATGCGGCTATTCGCTGTACTTTTGGAGGCAGTGGATGCCACTGAGGTGTATATGTCTACGCTATCTTGTTCTCTTGCTATGAACGGTCGGTATAGTGTACGGGAATCCTGTACATGCTGCTGGCAAAATCACCACCCAAGTGTATCATGGCATGGTTGAATCATTTAGGTCCGCAAAAGCTGCTTCCATAGTGTTTCTTTTCTTGCACTAGGCGCACTTCTAAATTACATTGTAATAATGTCTTCCCTTCACTGGAATGCCCCCACTAGTGCTTCAATCACGCACATGCGCTGTCTGCATGCTCCTCGTCCATGCTCGGCACCATTATCTGTGCTTCTTGACCATCTGCCTGTTGTCGACCGTTTCCAGAGTTTTAGCGCCGGGTTTCGAGACCAGCTTAAGGACGTCAATGTACTGTTCATGCAGAGTGATGGTGGGCTTACGCCCATGGATAGGTAAGAGGTCGGATGTGGTTTTAAGACGCACTGGGGCGGGGGGGGGGAGGGGTCAATTTGACACAACAAAGGCTGTTCTAGAATAATTTCCGAACAGGTGCCGTAGACTGGCCAAACTTTGCATAGCTGTAGGCAGTCGAATAGCGGAGCTTTTGGGCGAAACGATAGAAGGAGGAAATCGAAGTAAAAAACAAGCGTAAGGTCGCCAACGTATGACGGGTCAAAGTCGGGCTTGACTATGAGCGAAGGCAATCTCTAGGGAACCGTTCAGTCCGATGGGACAACGGGGTGTTGGACGAAGGCATACTGCCGCGAAATAATTTTTTGTACAAAAAGACAATTCAATTCTGGATTACACCAACTTCCATTGACCTTGGGTCAGGTAACATTGCCAGGCCACGTTCAAAACCAACCTGTTTTTTTACTGGAGAGCTTGCCATGTGGGGTAGTTTCTGATGCTCGTTTCGAATTTGCTGATAACTGGGACCGCAACAAGCCTCTTCCATGAACTTCTTGAAGGTCAGAGTAGGCATTAACTCTAAAATGAGCACCATGCTCTTTTGCCAAGGGCAGGTATCTAGGTTTAGGGTGGTTGCATGAGGAGGTCTAGGGGCACTTTGGACACCAACCTGAAGTTTGACCTTGTTTGATCTTATTGGAACCAAAGGTCGTGACCTAGAAACCTCAAATTTTGACAATTGAGGTTACAAACAGGCTAACCTACGTTTTGGAATTTGGTGTCTCTAGCTCTGTTTTTTTTAGGCATCGTTCAAATCATACTTTGTTAAGTAGGGAGTTTTTCCCAGCAAATGTTGTCATGATTATGTGCAGTTTTTGTGAATGTATACCATAAAAGAATCGCAGAGGGCATGATTTTTGTTACTCTATGAACGCTTTTTAATTTTTGCTCTCAAGGGGGAATTACTACGAGTCATTCAAGGTAACTGCCTTTGCAACATCATGATAATGTATCAGTTATGCAGTGGATCATACGGACCACAGCTGGTAAGTTTCGATGTTGTGTGTCCATGTGTCAAGTTATGTGGCGAAAAGTTAGCTGTAACATTAAAAAGACTATATGATAATATGCACTGAATGGGTTTGTTGTTTATCATAGTAGCCCCCATTAATTATGTGGTCGCCAATGTCAAAAGCCTCATTTTGGCATACACCCTGTATTATTATGTTGTGTATTGTTATAGCCCTGTTAATTCATTCATGTGAGTGATGTTACAAGCTTCGGCTGATAATGTACCAATAATATCTATTTGTGCCTACTACACCTTTAAGATTGCTAAAGATGACACTTCCATATCATCCACTCGTGCTAGTTCCCTTGGATGTTCTTTTTACAAGTGTGTGACGCGTGTCTTTATCATTCGTTTTGTGTTGAACTCATGTTCGCGGCTGAGACAGTGGTGAGCATTATTGTTCCGGGAACACAAGTCCGCGTGTTGCCATTTCCCGCCAGCTTCAACGGCTCCCGCGCCATTCTGTCCGGCCCGGCCGGCGGCGTAGTCGGCTACGCCCAGACCACCTACCGACGAGAAACTGAACTAGCGGTTATCGGGTTCGACATGGGTGGCACCAGCACTGACGTGAGCCGCTTCGATGGCAGCTACGAGCACGTGTTCGAGTCGACCACGGCAGGCGTCGTCATCCAGGCACCCCAGGTACGACAGGCGCCAGTTATCAGTGGTTGTTGCTACTGACCGGACGGCTGACGACCGTACTTGCGCGGGTTCTGGAGATCCTGCCACAATGTGCAGTGAGGGCGGTTCGGAACGCGTGCTGTTACAGGGTATGTATGTAACCAGGGGTCGATTCATCCCCTGTGGTTCCGGTTTTTTCCGGCTGACATTCTTGCAGATGTGGTGTTCCCAGGAACGTGTGGAGTCGATATATTCTGAGATCTGCAATATATTCGGGACATGAGCTTGATTTTGCTTTCATCTGGTCTGTTTTCTTATCCCGAAGCGTCGTCTCCCGCATCTGCTCATTAGGTGACGCTGCTGCCATCAGTGTCGCGTGCTGATGCCATGTTGCTGACCTAAGTTGACCTGTGAGTCATCGTGAGTCTAACCGACTGACCGACTGAGTGACCCGACTGCGACCTCCGTTGATCCGTGCGTGACTGCGCCCGCGGCCGTGACCTCGGTTGACCCGTCGCCGTGACCCGTGCCCGTTGATCCGGCAGCTGGACGTGAACACGGTGGCGGCTGGTGGCGGCTCCATGCTGTCTTTCAGGGCCGGCATGTTCGTGGTGGGGCCAGAGTCAGCCGGCGCCCATCCCGGTAAGCAGCAACACAGCTTGTGCCTAAACATGAAGCGTTTTGAATGATTGCAGATTTGCTTTTGTGAGCATTGAATTTCGGCACATGACACCAAAAGTTGGCTAGACGAACCATGTGGGCTGGACGTCCTTTTCCGGATCTCCTAATGGAAATAGTGAGAGGTAATCTAGTTCTTCTCTACAGATGCAAAGGTGGCAAGGCAGTTACATGCATCAAGCAATTGTTAATACCACCCAGGAAGTTGTAAAGCTCGCTTGCATGATGCTGACTGGTGTGTGTTGTTGGCTGACGTCATGCGGCGTGTACTGCCCACAGGCCCGGTGTGCTACAAGAAGGGCGGCCCTCTGACGGTGACCGACGCCAACCTGGTGCTGGGCCGGCTGCTCCCGGATTTCTTCCCGTGCATCTTTGGGCCGGGCGAGGACGAGCCGCTCGACAGTGGCGCCGCCTACCTGCAGTTCCAGAACCTCACCAACGAGGTGCGCCGCTCAGCTGGCGGTGCCGGTCCGGCGCGCCGCCGGGGGACGCCGGGATACACGAGTGGCTTGAGAACGGCGCGAGGCCGCGTGGGCTGACGTCACCGCCATGGGGTCGGGGCCCTAGGTCGGACGGTCCAATACTGATCCCGAGTGCATGATGAAATTGCTAAATTTGGTCCGACCTTAGATCATGTGTCGCTTTCCCTTTGTCAGTGTGGGCGAGAAGAGGGACGCTGAAAAGGTCCAGCCTGGAGATAGAGTTCGGATGAGAGATTGTGTGCTGGAGATGACGCCTGAGCAGGAGCATCTCCAGGCGCATCCGTCTCTCACTTGGCGATTGTCGGCCGTCGGCAGGCCCCGGAGTCGCGTCGGTGACTGCTGACGCTGTTCCGACGGTCGCCGGCCTGCGCGCCTTGTCTGGTCCGCATGCACAGGCCGCTTCTCTGACCCTGTGACGTCGCCAGGTCAACAAGTTCCTGCAGACGCAGAAGGGCGGCCGCTCCGAACCCATGTCGGTGGAGGAGGTAGCCATGGGCTTTATCCGCGTAGCCAACGAGGCCATGTGCCGGCCCATACGCTCTCTGACACAGGTACGTGTGGCCAGCGAGACCATGTGCCGGCCCGTACGCTCTCTGACACAGCAATGCGTAGCCGGTGAAACCATGTGCCGGCCCATAGGCTCTCTGACACGAGTGCGTATGAAATGCTCACACACCTAAGTAGTATGCCTGACGTGCAGGAATTTGAAAAGTTCGCATGCTTAAATCGTGTGTTTTGTTGTAGAAGCCAGAGGATGTTGTAGCTCATATGTCTCATGTATGCGTCCAAAGGATGTTGTTGTGTACGTCATCGTCCCGGCTTCTTAGTTAACAGAAATATCATATTTTGGACGCTCTTCTACGTTCCATTGACCAGCGAACAAGGACATGGAAGAGCTCAGAGACGACCGACTCGTAACTTGAGCGGGCCGGAAAGAGTGTATGTTATGCACATGCCCCCAAGAGGAATGGTCGGAATAACTCTACATTGAAATCTGAGAATACTATCACGTCTCAAAAGTTGGTATTCAGCCTCATATGGACGTATTCATAATTTATGTATTGGATCATGGTATCCGTCATCCGGCTGATATCCGTCATAAGTCTTATGTTTGTTCCTCTTTGGGTGTACGATTCTATATGATGCGCCTCAGAATGTTTTGCCTACTGTGATATCGTACCCTACACCTTACATCCTGTGCATGTCGATCGTGTGTATTTAGCCGGCCAACAAAGCGAGGCACCACTGTGTGTGCTAATGCTGCGATACGACTTCCATGACCGCGCCCGACGCGGACGATGCTCCCACTTGCAGCCACCCTTGACACAGCTGCAGTCGCACGTGACCCGTCCTCCCCTGCACGGAGGTCGGGGCGGCGCCGTCACGTGACCCTTGACCGGCAGGCTCGGGGGCACGACACGTCCCACCACGCGCTGGCCTGCTTCGGCGGCGCCGGCGGCCAGCACGCATGCGCCATAGCGCGCGCTCTCGGCATGGGGACGGTGTTCGTGCACAGGTGAGAGGCACGCCTCGCTGGAGGGGTGGCGCGGTGGCTGGTGCCTGGGACTGTACGCGGACGACGGGCTGGTCCCAGTCAGACGTGCCGGAGACAGGGCGCTGGCCGACCATGCAATGGTGCGCCCCACAGGCTGGGGGCGGAGGAGCGTTTGAACACAACGCTGTAAAAGACACGTTCGCAAATGCGATTTAGTTAATGAATGGACGGTCACTGGTAATTTTAATGCTGCTTGTGTTAACTTTGGTCGTCATGCTGCAAGCGGAACTGGTTTGGATTATGGCAGTTCGAGCATACTTTGCGTTATCACCGGCGTATTCCGTGGTCGTTGGCCAGCGACCAATTCCCATACACCGGGGTGGAGTCTGTCCGTCGTGCACTGGCAACACGAACCGTCAGTGAGTACAGCTGCGGTCGGCCGACCGTCTCCTGCGCCGTCTGACACCCGGCCCGGTGTCACCGTCCGCCCGGCACGTGCCGTCTCCGTCCGGCCGTCCCCAGGAAGGGGGGGGCGGTGTCACCGTCCGCCCGGCACGTGCCGTCCCGTCCGGCCGTCCCCAGGAAGCGGGGGGGGGGGGGGGGGGGCGGTGTCACCGTCCGTCCGTGACTTGCCGTCCCCTTCCGGCCGTCTCCAGGAAGGGGAGGGGGCGGTGTCACCGTCCGCCCGTCAGGTACCGTCCCCGTCCGGCCATCTTCAGGAAGGGGGGGGGGGGCGGTGTCACCGTCCGCCCGTCACGTGCCGTCCCGTCCGGCCGTCCCCAGGAAGGGGGGGGGGGGGCGGTGTCGCCGTCCGCCCGTCACGTGCTGTCCCCGTCCGGTCGTCTCCAGGAGAGGGGGAGGGGGCGGTGTCACCGTCCGCCCGGCACGTGCCGTCTCCGTCCGGCCGTCCCCAGGAAAGGGAGGGGGCGGGGGCGGTGTCACCGTCCGTCCGTGACTTGCCGTCCCCTTCCGGCCGTCTCCAGGAAAGGGGGGGGGGGGGGGGCGGTGTCACCGTCCGCCCGTCACGTGCCGTCCCGTCCGGCCGTCTCCAGGAAGGGAGGGGGGGGGGGGGCGGTGCCACCGTCCGCCTGTCACGTGCCGTCCCGTCCGGCCGTCTCCAGGAAGGGAGGGGGGGGGGGCCGGTGCCACCGTCCGCCTGTCACGTGCCGTCCCGTCCGGCCGCGCAGGTACGCCGGCATCCTGTCGGCGTTCGGCATGGCGCTGGCTGATGTCGTCCACGAGGCCCAGGAGCCCTGCGGCCGGCCCTATACCCCCGGTGAGAGGGCCGCCATGGCCAGGGGCACGCAGGCACAGCGCTACAAGGCAACCTCGCTCAGTGCATGCACGACAGGGTATCCTTTGCACGATCAGTGGGTTGCGGTCAGTCTCCCGCTTCTAACTGTAAGGGGGCCAGTATAGTCAGCTGGCACGGTTGACTGCAGACAGGCTGCTGTCGGCTATGCAGTGCTGCTGAAGTCTAACCACTCTGATCACTGTTGATCGCTCACTTGGGGCATCGGAAGGATCAGGCGGAAGGGCGTACTTACATCCAGAGTCACGATGGCCCTGCAGTGTGTTCTGCAGGCAAGCGGCGGTCCTGTACTCACTCCGAACCGCCGGCGTGGTGGCGGGTTTGTTGTCCGCCTGTCGGAACGCCGGTGGTCAGGTGTACTTCACGAGCCGTGTCTGCACGCCTGACCGTTGAGATCGGCGCAGAGAACGCGGTCGAAGGCGCAGAGGGCATGCCGAAGCTCTGGTGCCGTCTGCTGGTTTTGCTGCAAAACAAGTTGCGGCTGGTGATAAACGGGTTGATAAACGGGTGCGTTCAGATTCCGCTGCTACGAAAGATGCAAGTTTGCGACACTTTTATCTAAGTAGTTACGGTTGCCTAAAACTGATCACATTGACGTTGTTCCATAGGCAATGTCGCCGCGTTTCCGAGTAAGGGCACACAGCTAGACCTAATGGGCAGCGTTGCTGCACGGAGGGTATAGCCACTTTAATGGAGGGAGCCGCGCGGTCGGCATGTTGTTGAGTAATCTTCTGCAGATAATGCAGCCGCTTTTCCGGAGAGCCTCGTGGTTAAACTTGCTGAAGGATCGGCGTATTAAGATTGCTACCGTGATCCCAGATGGAGTCGCGCGGTCGGACTTGTTCAGAAGTATTTTTGTGAGGAAAAGGTCATCGCATTTCTTTGAGGCGCGCGGTCAGATTTGTGCTTTTTCAGACCGTTGTAACTGCTGACCTTTGTTACCCTTACTTTGCGACTACGTGCCGGCTTGAAAATCAACAAAATATACCCATTCGTGGAGGAGAGGGTACACGACAGTGCGGACAGCCTTGTCGGCACTAGTCGGCACGTGCGGCACACCTAGCTAATTGATGGGTCGGAGGTGGATCGCCGTACGATGTTTTTCCCATCGCGGGCTGATCAGGGATAAGCTAGACGCACACATCAATGCGTATTGATCCCGGCCGTCCATGCGGCGGACGTTGACCCCTGACGTCAGTGCGCTGATGTCTGGGCTGGTCGGCACTGTCCACCGGCTGTTTGCTCCGGACTGACCCTGTGGAGGCTTACTCCACGCACGTTCCAGATAACAATACATGCGAGGATGACTTCCCGGAAGAGGAGTCCGATGGAAAAAAATGCACGGATAGCGGATCATTTGTCACCAACCCCAACACATGCTCACAACGGAATAGCGGACTGCGCTAGGCATGGTGTAATCGAGGTTGGGTGTCCCAACGCTCGTTGCGGGAAGGGGGCACCACTCTATTCTTGACAGGGAGATATGTCACTCGAAATTGCACTCCTGGGTAACTGATTGCAAGGCAGATTTCCCCATAGTGCAGCACAATGCTGTTACATAAATTATCTTGCCTCAATATGCGCACCAGTTCATGGAGACTTTGGTATTGTTGCAAACAAGATGCCCGACGACGGATGGCCATCGAGACATCTGTTCGCAAGAGAAACGATCGGACTTGCTCTTCACAGTGATCCAGTTCTGGGAAGCAGTAATTTAAGGATGCATTGCAAATAACGAGCTTTCATAGGCCGCTAATCTGCATATATTAACGATTTCCTTGATTATAATCTGGGATTTCTCAATTTAATACGTTTAACAAATGCAGAGTGGAAGTGGCCTTTCTTTTACCTCCTATCACATAAAACTGGCTCAAGATTAAGACTGATGAGATCGTCAGTGTTAGCTTCTTTTTTGCTAAAACGAGCATTCGCTCAAGGTTCTCTTTGATCGTCCATTAAAGTTTTCGTTGACAATGCACTTTTAAATTTGACCAGAGCTTGTTGCAAGTCCAGCAGCATTCCGATATCGTTAAGCAAATGCGCACTCGCTTGCGCCTGCCTGTGTGGCAATTTCTGAGGCCTCTGGGGTCGTCAGTCATGCAGTCAGAAAGAACGTCGATGCTGTTCTTTTTGGTCGCCGCGCAGTAGATGCACATAGCTCAGCCGGCCTGCATTTCTATGCACGTGTTATGTGCAGCTGGTTGTGATCCAACGGTTTAGCCACGGCCGCGGCGCAACCTACCCGACCGGCCGTCGTCGGCCCGCCCCGGTCGACTGTTTGTTATGGCAGAAACGTATGTGCAGCTAGTGGAGCGGCTCAACAGTAGCGGGAAATGCGCGTCATTGGTCGCCTGTTCCGCGGAGCGAACCTTGATCACATGCTGCAGTCACCGGTTGAGGCGTATTATCGTATACAGTTAATAGTACGTGATTACGGCGCTCCATACAGACCGTATGGCTTGCCACGTTCACCGTTATATGTAAACGGCACATAACATGGCTGGCGGACGAAGCTTTCCGCAGATGAGATTGTGCGTAGGAGCAAGGGTGGCGCCACTGGCGCGATGACGCCGGGGCGGCGGAGAAGGGGGGAGGGAGCATCACGGCATTTGGTGGGGGATTTGGATGCAGCGTTGCGTCAGAACGCTCAAGTGGGGGTGTTTCTGGACAAAAAGTGTATTTGGAATGATTCGGAGATATTTAAGCGGGGTTGTAATGCTCATCTCGTTGAGAGTCTCATTGCAAAAGTGGTTGTCATTCAGCGACGGACAGCCGCGAGGAAGCTATCGGGGTTAACGGCAAACTCACTGGACTTCTTGTCGTACCTTGAACAATTGCGCGTGCACCATTTATCTTGAACTTGAGAACGAGGAGCCCCCGGAAAATAGACCGGCGGGGAAAAACTGCATTTGATTAATTTCTTGTTGTGCAGCGCGGCAAGGGTGCAGCCAGAGGACCCCTCCTCTCCTCCGATTAGGAGCGTGTATATACTTCAGCACCATAGACGGCTCCTCCGGCTCTCTTATGACGGGTGCTCACTAAGCCTCGTTCCCCCACCCAAATGAACTGTAAGCAGCGGTTCTGCAGCGCTGTCTGGCCTGTGCCAAGCTGCTTCCAGATGGTCGCATGCTCTGCCCTCAGGTCTCCGCTCAAGGGGCGCTGCCAAGTGGGGTCTCATGGAGCGTGAGGCATGGGGCATGGGGCATGGGGCGTGTACCTCCCCACGTCCTGTTGGCATTAAGCGCAGCTTGTCACCATGACAGTATTGATTAAGTCACGCAGTCTGGTGATCATGAAAATTACTTTGACTTGACATGTTGGTGACTGTCATGGGTGCTGATTTGTCGCGGCCAACAGCAGTAATTCACTGACAATGCCATCGCTTAGCCTAGCGGATATCTGCAGTGCGCTGTTAACTGTTTTCGCCGTGAGGCAAACCAGCATTGAAAGCCCTTGGTTGCGTAAGGCACTGAACCTGCTAGCGTTTGTGGTGTCTGTTGTCTGTTGGCGGTGTGTAGGTTCTCCGAATGTCCTGAGACTCGGTCCTAAAAACTCTGGCTATTCCAGAGTCGTGAAGCCTGGTAGCCCTCCACCTCCCCCAGTCGCACGTCCTGGCTGCGCCCCTGCTCCATCCCTTGTCCTTCTCATCACCCGATGGTGTATACCACTGACATTGCCCCAAGTGCCGTGCAGGGCAGCCATTGTTTGCGCCATCATCGCCGCGTCGGTGCAGTTGGTGTGGACCAGCGGCACTCACCAGCACCTCGTCGTTTCAGAGCACTTTGCGTACTTTGATGAGCGTCTGAGCGCCCTGACAGAAGTCTGTCGCCAGAAGCTCAGACAGCAGAACTTCCCCGACCACAAGGTTGTACGATGAAACTGCGGCGTCTTCTGGGCGGGCGACTTACTGCTTGTGGTTTGTTTACTATCACGCTACGTTGATTGAAAATGGGGCTAAATACCATTGCTTTTTCTTTTCACTTCTAATGCTGGGCAGCGCTTCATCAATATTATTTTGTGTTTCTCCTTTCAGTCATTAATATTCCGCGCTGTACTTGGCTTTGGACACCACTCTAGCCATGTATTGGCCTCCCGGCGTCAGCCGGCGGGCGCGTTGTGTGCCGTCGGGCGGCGGCGTTACCAGGCGCTGGGCCCGCGAGCGGCGCTGCCGTGGCCCGCTGCTGCGCGCGCGTCGGCCGGCCTTGACCGCTCGCGTCTCACCCCTGCTCAGATCACGACCGAGGTTCACCTGCACATGCGGTACGACCAGACGGACTGCGCGCTGATGGTGCAGCCGGTGGCCCGACAGGCGGGCGACGGCGCCGCCCCGGCAAGCGGAGACTTCATGGCCGCCTTCCTGCAACGGTCAGTGGTGGGACACCGAGGGCTGGACGGGGATGGGGATGGGGAGGCGTCTTGGGATGCTGACGGCACCAGGGGCCGTCAGCATCCGACCTCCTCCTCCTCCGACCCTGCCGCCCAGAAGACGGACGGCAGGGTCAGAAGGCGGAAGGACCATCGACCGATTGGTGGCGCAAGTAAAAAGGCAGCCATTCCAATGTATATATATACATGACACAGTCAATGGTGACCATAACTCAGCTTGAAACGTCGAAATGTTGTCAATGCGAACAACGCTTCCTTGATGCGTCGTTTTTCCACTACCCTCTGCCATATTCAAGGTACATTATTTTCAGCACAAGAATTTTCAACTCATAATTACTCAGAACTTATGTTTTTGCGTCAATTTTTGTCAGATATTGCTTCGTTCCTTCGATCGTTATTTTAGCGCGCGACCACGACCACATCGTGGGCGTTCGATTACAGATCGCAACCCGCCGCCCTCCCCCGTGGTGCATGTTCTGATCTCACCACCCTCGAGACCGCCCCGCCGTGACGCTGCAGCCCTACCGCCCTCCCCCGTGGTGCATGTTCTGATCCGCCACCCCCGAGACCGCCCTTCCGTGACGCTACAGCCGCACCCCCTTCCCCCGTGGTGCATGTTCTGATCCCACCACCCCCGAGACCGCCCTTCCGTGACGCTACACCCGCACCGCCTTCCCCCGTGGTGCATGTTCTGATCCCACCACCCCCGAGACCGCCCTTCCGTGACGCTACAGCCGCACCGCCCTCCTCCGTGGTGCATGTTCTGATCCCGTCACCCCCTCCCCCTCCGAGACCGCCGCGCCGTGACGCTTCAGCCCCGGCACCCTCCGGTCGTCAGGTACCGCAAGGAGTTCGGCTTCGTCATCGGTGACCGTGACGTCATCGTGGACGACGTGCGCGTGCGCGGCCTGGGCGGTGCCTCGGTGGAGGACGACGCCGCGCTGCCGCCGGCCGCCAAGCCGCCCTGCCCCAAAACGGTACGCGGGGTGCCCAGCGGCGGCTAGTCTAATGTTCTTGTCATGAGAAGCCCGGTATGTTGCGCGCGTCACGGTGCGTTGAGTTCTCTGCGGCCGTCCACCGAGAGATTGATCTCGTCGCTGCGGCGGCTGTCAGTCCCGCCGAAGTGTCCGCATGTCCAACACAACGGGTGTGAGCCTGGGTGTCCGGGGTTAAAGCAGGATGGCTGTAGCACTGCTTCTCGTGTCACCGCCCTCCAAAATGATCCATTCAGGTCGAAAAACGCTGACACGACCAAACGAAACCTGATGTCTGGTGGGCCAGGAGATGGTCTGGATGGACGTGTTGTGGCGCGGTTAGCTTCGCGCTTCGTCAGCAATCAGCCGGCCGTTTAAAGCCGCGACGGTCGCATGTGTGGACTGGTTGTAAAGGAGCCGCCGCCGTCAAAGCCCGTCGGGCGAGGCTGCAGCGCTCTCCGCTCGGCCGTGCGCTGCCGTCACGCGCGCCGCCGTCCCGCCAGGAGAGTGAGGTGTACTTCGAGGACGGCTTCCACACGGTGGGCGTGTACCTGCTGTCGGAGCTGGGGGCGGGGCACGAGATCGCCGGGCCAGCCGTCATCATGGACTCGCTCAGCACCATCCTGGTGGAGCCCGGTGAGACGCGGCCGGCGTGCGGGTGGCGGCTCAGCCCGCCGGTGTGTGGTGTTTCTCACGCTCTGTTCTGGTGTTCATTCGTTTGTTGTGAGGTAAACTGTTGTGACTTGTCTGTATCCTTGTGCCCTGCGCTGTCTTTTAGAACACGGGGAGTTGCGATGCTACATTTATGGTCCATGACTGATTGTTTTATGCGCCTGGCTGTAGTATTTTGCCGTGTGTTCCGACTATGGAATACCATTTACATCGACATTCATTTTCGTTCATCATTTGTATCTCGGCTTTTCAATGATCAGGTTAGCAATATCGTGTCATCTGTATCACCATCGAGGAGCATGACTGCAACAGTAACGCGACCCGTCCACACGATCCCACCGTAACACCGATGGCGTGCCTCGCCCAGACCCGGCGTCCCGTCCCGTCGCCGCTCCCTCCCTCTCTCGCCGGCCGGGGTCGGTCGTGACGCAGCGCGACTTCGCCGCCGGCAGACTGCACGGCGACGATCACGGCGCGCGGCGACGTGCGCGTGTGCATCGGCTCGGGCGAGCGGCCGCGGGTCGGGCCCGAGCTGGACGCCATACAGCTGAGCATCTTCTCGCACCGCTTCATGAGCCTGGCCGAGCAGATGGGCCGGTGAGTGGGCTCCGGCTCCGGCTCCGGCTCCGGCTCCGAGTCGCGCGCTCAGGCGCCGTGTGGCCAAGCCGACAAGCCGAGCCCAAACCCAAATCAGTAGCAGCGGTTTCGGCACCTCACCAAGCCCGAGTGCTGCTCCTCAGTCTCTGTTACTGACGCCGTCTCGCTGTCGGTGTCTGACTGATGCTGAGCCGCTCATGATAGCTTTAGCAGAGACCTGTCCGAGGCTACCTTACTCTGCCAGCGGTTAGATCCGATGCCGTGTGCATGGCGACTGATACGCAGTGGGCGATGGAGGGCCTAGGTGACGGCGGGGGGCGAGCCGAAGCCACGCGCCGACCCGCCGCCTCCGTCGCCAGGATCCTGCAGCGCACGTCCATTTCGACCAACATCAAAGAGCGGCTGGACTTCTCGTGCGCGCTGTTCGGCCCAGACGGCGGCCTGGTGTCGAACGCGCCGCACATTCCCGTCCACCTGGGCGCCATGCAGGAGGCCGTGCAGTACCAGGTGAGGCGACGGGGCGGCGGGCCGGGCGCCGCGCCGACCGGCTGGTCACAGCCGCAGAGAGGTCGCCGCAGGTCGCGGGAGGCGACCAAGTGAGCCGACGGGACGGCGGGCTGGGCGCCGCGCTGGCTGGTCGGTCGCGGCCGCGGAGAGGTCGCCACAGGTCGCGGGACGAGGCCCCCGCCGCGGCATGTCGGCCCCCGCCGCGACCGGTTGCCGGCCGGCGTCCCCTGAGCTGCAGACGACACTGTTCTTGACGAGGTTCGGTTCGGCGGCGACGCCCTCCGGTTGAAGTGCGGTGCTCCTGGTGAGTCTGTGACCGGCCGCTGGTCTGCCGTGGCCCGGCCCTGGTTGGACCGCTCGGGTTGCGGGGCGCCGGGCAGCGGCGCGCCGTCCGCCACGAGACATTGGAGGCCGTGGACGGGGCACAGCGCGCTCCTCGCCACTCGGCGGGAACGCGTGAACGCTGGACGGAGGCTACGCTCATACACGGTGTGACGTCACACAGAGGCTCGCTCCGACTGGCTGTGTGCCTGCTGAGTGAGCCGACTAACACAGCCCGTCCATCTGGACAGTGGGCAGAGCCATCGGCGCGTTTGATGCCTCACAGAACGCCACCCCCTACCCAGTCGAGGCTTGTATTAGGCAAGACCTGTCTAATGCAAGTCTAGACATCCATGACTTGCATTAGCGTCCGTGGAAAAAGTTGTGCTTGCTGTCAGATTTGGGCCGGAATTGCTCAAAACCGCAAAGAGCTTACTCTGTTTTTACCTTTTTATCTGATGCTGATCAAGCCGAAAATGTAAAGCGATTGTACCCAATTCACTTGTAATCAGGCCCAATCTATAGCAAATCTATTCCAGATGGTTCTGGGAGGGAATTAATCCGGTTTCCAGCCCACAACTCTCGCGAAAGGCGCTCGACTCTTATACCAGTCTGATTCAGCTGGGGTCCGGCCCGAGTCTGCTGAGCATGGTACAGCCGTCTTAAAGCAGCGTCAGCGGGGAGGTGTTCACCAGGCGATGGGGTCGAACTGATGGATGAAACCGAAACGAACGCGCGCATGCAATCCCGGCGCGCGAGCCGCTTCGCCCGCCGTCACCCAGACGCGCCTCCGCCCGGGCGCAGTGGCTGCCGCCGACGGCAGGTGCTCATCGCCGCGTATCGGACCGCCCCACAGATCCGCGCGCTGGGCGACGCCATCCGACCGGGAGACGTGCTGCTGTCGAACCACCCGTCCGCCGGCGGCTCCCACCTGCCCGACCTCACCGTCATCACGCCCGTCTTCTACCGGTGAGCCGACCGTGCCGGCCGCCGCTGCGGGCCGGCCGGCGCCGCGGCCACCGACCCGCCTCTTAGGACTATATATGGCGGACCATTTTTTCGACTTGCTGTTTGGTGTGGAGGCTTCGGTTTGGTGTGTAACATTTATTTTTTGAATGGCGTGTGTGTTTGTCCAGTTTTCCTCCCGCCTTGCATGGTCTGAGATGACCGCGGGTGTTTCCAGTACGCTTTGGCCGCACCATGTTGTGGATGCCGGCGAATCTAGCCCCGGACATCCTCGCAACCCTTCCGTCATCGTCCCAGGAGCGGGGGCCGTCGCGGGGCCCCTCCAGTCAGTCGGCAGAGCGCGGTCGGCCGGGCCGTCGCGGGGTCCCCCAGTCAGTCGGTCGGCCGGGCCGTCGCAGGGTCCCCCAGTCAGTCGGTCAGTCGGGCCGTCGCGGGGTCCCCCAGTCAGTCGGTCGGCCGGGCCGTCGAAGGGTCCCTCCAGTCAGTCGGTCAGCCGGGCCGTCGCGGGGTCCCCCAGTCAGTTGGTCGGCCGGGCCGTCGCGGGGTCCCCCGGTCAGTCTACAGATCATGGTCGCCGGGCCGCGGACTCCGCCACCCGCTCTTCTCCCGTGGCCGTACCCAGTTGGCGCGTGTCGAGCGCGCCGGCCGGCTCGGCCCGCCGCCAGGGGGCGCCAAGCCGACACGCTCCGGACGCGGTGCCTTCCGCCGCCGTGTTTCGTGGGTGTGTGCGGGAGTTCCTGATGAGGTGTATTGACCTGGAAGCGCCCCCCTCCCATCGATCTGGGCTCCGCGCCGCCGGTGGCTGGCCGTGGCAGCTTGGAATTGGCCTGCTAACGGGCACCTCCTCGGCGGTGTAGGGTGGTCCACTGCCTGGGCCACACCCGGTGTCTGTTCCAACGTCGCGGCAGGTGTTAAGCATTGTCTTGGCGTCGCCGCTGGTGTTGGTTATTTCCGATTAGGAGCTTGATGCAGTATGACATGATGTGATGAGTGGGCTGGCGCAAGTCGGGACGCGTAAATCGGAGTGTTTCTAACTATAGCTTAAGTCACGACCCACCGCACACACGCCCGATCCGCCAGCTGAGACGGGCCACGTGTCCTCCGTCGCTCCGGCTCACGCTTCAGCCGTCTCCTCCCGGCGGCCGACACCCGGGCCGGTGACGCCACCACCCACCCCTCATCTCCCCGCCTCCGCTGGAAGCTCGAAATGAAACCGTTTGGTTTGAGGAATACATGTTTGGAGGAGTTTTGCTATCCGTAGTTGGGCGTCGTCCGGCGTAACGGGCCTGTCAGCATCAGTTAGTTGACAGATTCTTCAGCTCCCGTGAATGTTGGCAGACCCTTCGTGGTGCGCTTGTAGATATTGACTCCTGTGTAATCCGGCCTACTGCTGCTTGTCAGTCTCTTCCGGGCGTTTGACCCCAAGCCGTGGGGCTGAATACATTTTAATTTGTTTTCGTCAAGGCACCCTGGCAATCCATTCGATAATATTCTAAATGTTGATATATTTCATGCAAGCCGTGTATCGTCTCATGTTTGGTAGCAGTCATATTATGACAATGTTTTATACAAGCTGTTTTAAAGCCTGCTTAGTGTGTTTTGTTCTAGTCGTAAAGGTAGTTTTGTACTAAATTGAGTATGCCAATATTTAAATTCTTGTCGTGCTGGTGACCGCCATGTGCAGAACATCTTTTGGTGAGATAGTGAGACGTGTCGCAGCATGGGCTTGAGACGCTACAGGACAACTGGCATGATGATGAACTTCGCCATAACGTTGACATCGGCCATCAACGTATTCTAACTAGCCGATGAAGCACCTTGAAAGCCGCTGGCGACCCGTTGATCTCGGTCTTGCGTGTCTGGTTTTCATTCATAACTGCAGTTGCCGTCGCCGGCTTGAGGCGTTAGCAGTTAACGCTACGACTTCATCTACGGGCGGCCGTCTTCACCTGCCCGCCACCTGACACCCCGCTCCTCCATCCGAGAAGGCATCGGACCCGTCCGTGTCATGTCAGCTTGTCTGACACGTCCCCCAAAGCCCGGCAGACACACGGAGCGCCACGTGCCGTTCGCGGCTTCTGACGCGGCTGCCCTCCGGCTGCCCGCCTCCGAGCGCCACGTGCCGTTCGCGGCTCCTGACGCGGCTGCCCTCCCGCTGCCCGCCTCCGAGCGCCACGTACCGTTCGCGGCTCCTGACGCGGCTGCCCTCCCGCTGCCCGCCTCCGGGCGCCACGTGCCGTTCGCGGCTTCTGACACGGCCGTCCTCCCGCTGCCCGCCTCCGGGCGCCACGTGCCGTTCGCGGCTTCTGACACGGCCGTCCTCCCGCTGCCCGCCTCCGAGCGCCACGTGCCGTTCGCGGCTTCTGACACGGCCGTCCTCCCGCTGCCCGCCTCCGAGCGCCACGTGCCGTTCGCGGCTTCTGACACGGCCGTCCTCCCGCTGCCCGCCTCCGAGCGCCACGTGCCGTTCGCGGCTTCTGACACGGCCGTCCTCCGCCGCCGACAGGGACTCGGATGGTCCGGTGTTTTTCGTGGCGTCGCGCGGACACCACGCCGACATCGGCGGCATCACACCCGGCTCCATGCCGCCCCACTCCAAGTCGCTGCTCGAGGAGGGCGCCTGTTTCAAGTCCTTCAAGCTGGTAGAGGCCGGCGTGTTCCAGGTGGGGCGGCCAGGCGGCGGGCCTCCTCCAGCGCCGGGCGCCACGCGTGCGCGGGGCCTGCTGATGGCGAAGGGCTGCTGACCGATGTCACAGTGCTTTGCATCCGGTGACAGTACTGCACCTGGACTTGTGCATGGTGCCAGGCTTTCCTCCCAGGCTACCCGGTGCACTAGTCTTAGCGATACTAGTGCACCAGTGCTAGTCAGGCAGCCCGTCTGAAGTTGACCTGGCTGTGACCTTAGTGTGCCGGGAGTTCCGGCACGCAGACACGATGGGGCGCGAATCGAAGGCGTTCAGGTGACTATGAAGTCTGGGCAAGCCGGTAGGAGTAGAATAACTATGCAGCAGATAGTGTGATAGTAGGCCGAAGGTAGTGTTGTGGTGCCGCTGGTTGTATCCTCTGCACATTGTTGTCACGTTGGAGCAGTCGCTGTTTTACGAACGCAAGCGGTAATTAGTCGATACGTTTACCTGATGTGTTCATGGAGTTGCTGCGACAATATTTCTCGGCTCGGTAAGCTGTTCGGCTTTACAGAACAGCTTACCGAGCCGAGTATGGATAGTTCAGTCGTGGTTAACACCTGCCACCCGCCATCTTCCCATCGTTCGCGCGGCCTGCTCTCAACTTTGATTGCCAATCTCCAAGTTGCCCGGTCCGCTGGCGCTTCGATCGCCGTGCTGAGGCACCGCGCCCCTCGGCGACCCTCAGGAGGAGGCGGTGACGGCGGCGCTGCTGGCGCCGGGCGAGATCCCGGGCAGCTCTGGCACGCGCAACCTGCGTGACAACCTATCAGACCTGCGTGCCCAGGTGGCCGCCAATCAGAAGGTGAGCACCACCGACCGGGGGCACGGAGTCAGGTGGCCACATATGTGCGACGTGGTGCGGCTGTCCGCCCCGCCCCCCGCCCTGCCCCGCCCCGCCCCGCCCCGCCCCGCCCCCGGTCGTCAGGTGACCACAGCCGTCTCCAAGCTGTGGGAGTGCGGCTTCCCCCCCCCCCCCTCCGCCCCGACCGTCAGGTGACCACAGCCGTCTCCGAGCTGTCGAAGCGCGGCTATCAGCCCCCCGCCCTGCCACGCCCTGCCCCGCCCTGCCCTTGCCCCTGCTCCCGTCCGTCAGGTGATCACAACCGTCTTCGAGCCGTCGGAGTGCGGCTATCCCCTGCCCCGCCCCTCCCCGGCCGTCATGTGACCACAACCCGTCTTCAAGCTGCCGGAGCGTAACCTCGACCACCTTGTCGCTGGTACGTAAATAAACACAGATATTGCGATCGGTGATAATGCAATTTAATTAGTCGCATTCATGTGGAAGGCAGTCGAAGTCATGCAAGTCACGCAACCCTGTTCTATTCACCACGCGACCAACCAGCATTGCAGCAGCTCGACCGCATGAGTCGCCACCCAGCCCCCAGCCCCCAGCCCGCTGCTAGCCTCCCCTCCCCGCCGATGACAGCCTGCTCACCGCTGCTGACCTCGTTGCTCGCTGACCTGTTCTCCCTTCCTCAAACCTTTCATTCCCCGCCTCAGACCCCTTTCCACTCCCCAGCTCTGACCGTTCGCCGCCCTACCTCTGACTTTTTCCCGCCCCACCTCTGACCGCCCTCTCCGACCGCTCCCCGCCCCACCTCCGTCTCTCTCTCCACCTCTGACCTCTCTCCTCACCTCTAACCACTCATTGTCCGCCTCTGACCACTCTTCCCACCTCTGACCGTTCCCCGCCCCCTCTAACCGCTCCCTTTCCACTTCTGACCACTTTCTCCTCGCCTCTAACTGCTTTCTCCTCCCCTCCGACCCCTCACCTCCCCCAGCTCTGACCGCTATCCTTCCCTCCGACCCCTCACCTCCCCCACCTCTGACCGCTGTCCTCCCCTCCGACCCCTCACCTCCCCCAGCTCTGACCGCTATCCTCCCCTCCCACCCCTTACCTTCCCAGCTCTGACCGCTATTTTCCCCTCCGACCCCTCACCTCCCCCAGCTCTGACCGCTATCCTCCCCTCCGACCCCTCACCTCCCCTAGCTCTGACCGCTATCCTCCCCTCTGACCCCTTGCCTCCCCAGCTCTGACCGCCCGGCTCGTCACGGACAGGGGATCAGCCTGGTGGGCGAGCTGATCGACTACTACGGCCTGCCGGTGGTGCAGGCGTATATGGCGCACATCCAGCAGGCGGCCGAGCTGGCCGTGCGCGACATGCTGCGCCAGATCGGCCGCGGCGCCAGCAGCCGCTCCGGGGCCGCCCGGCTCCGCTTCACAGACCGCATGGATGACGGCAGCCCTATCCAACTGGCCGTGGATATCGACGAGGAGGCGGGCTCGGCCGTGTTCGACTTCAGGTGAGCACGTCAGGGTTCGGTTTGTTTTGTAGATGCGGGAGGTTGGAGGATCGGCTTCATGCGGAGGGCTGAGGTGTTGGGTATGTGTGGAGGGCAGAGGTGGGGGGGGGGGGGGGGGGGAGGATATTAACTCAGGTGTGGAGGGCGGAGGTGGGGGAGGGAGTATCTGGGTTTGGAGTGCAGCAGTGGGGGGGGGGGGATTACATCAGGTGTGGAGGGCAGAGGTGGAGGGGGGGGGGAAGGATTAACTCAGGTGTGGAGGGCGGAGATGGGGAGGGGGTATCTCGTTTGGAGTGCAACAGTGGGGGGATTGCATCAGGTGTCGAGGGTAGAGGTGTTTGCTTTGTTCTAGTTCAGTAACAGGACGGGGGCGGGGAGACAGCCGCGTTGGCTTTGAAGTTGGATTTTAATGTAAGGGAATTCTAAGCGGATGTGTGTTTTACATTTCCTCCTCGTAAAAATGGAGTTAGCACGATAATTTGGTACGTGGCACAGAATTGTTTAATCTCAGAAAGAACCGTCGTTATTTGAAGCGTAGGCAGCTCAGGGTGCCGTGCGCGTCGCGCGCCGAAGGCAGGGTCGAGGCGTCTACCGGCGCCGTTCTGAGCGTGCTTGCCCGTGTTCCAGCGGCACCGGGTACGAGGTGTGGGGCAATTGCAACGCGCCGAGGGCCATCACACTATCGGCCATCATCTACTGCTTGCGCTGCATGGTGGGCCACGATGTGCCCCTGAACCAGGTGAGCCGGCGGGCGGTGGCGAAAGCGGCGGAGACGCGGAAGGAGGCGGCGTGGGTGGGGAAGAAGGTGTCGCGGGCGAGGAGGGCGTCGGCGCGGGCGGGGAGGAAAGTGGCGCAGGCGGGGAGGAAGGCGGCGCAGGCGAGGAGGGCAGGGAAGGAGGCGTCGCGGGCGGGGAGGAAGGCGGGGAGGGAGGCGGCGCGGGTGGTAAAGGGAGTCAGCGTGGCCGGTGAAGGAAGGCGGCGCGAGCGGCAGGAAGTCGGCGCGGGCAGGGAAGGCGGGCGGCACGGCGGGGAGGGAATCAGCGCGGGTGGTCAAGGGAGCCGCCGGGAGTGGCGAAGGGAGGCGTCGCGAGCGGCGAAGGGAGCCGGAGCGGGTAGTAAAGGGAGTCGGCACGAGCGGAAAGGGAGGCAGCGCGGGCGGGGAAAGAGTGGGCGCGGCCACTGAAGGGAGGCGGTGCAGGTGGTGAGGGGAGACAGTGCGGGTGGTGAAGGGAGGGGCATGGGTGGTGACGAGAGCCGGAGCGGATGGGAAGGGAGCCGTTGCGGACGGGGAGGGAGCCGGCGCGAGCGGAGAGGAAGGCGGCGCGGGCGGAGAAGGGGTCGGCGCGGGCGGAGAGGGAGGCGGCGCGGACGGAGAGGGAGTCGGCGCGGGCGGAGAGGGAGGCGGCGCGGACGGAGAGGGAGTCGGCGCGGGCGGCGAGGAAGTCAGCGCGGGCGGAGAGGGAGGCGGCGCGGGCCGAGAGGGAGGCGGCGCGGGTGGGACGGTCAGCGCCAGCGCCGCGGCAGGGTCAGGCCGGCCGCGTCGGTGTGATCGGGCCGGACCCGACGGCACGGCCCGGGCTCGGAAGCTCCCAGCCAGCGGAGGTAGAGAGCAGAGACCGACAGGAGAGATGGGCCAGACGCTCCGCCCCCTCCTCGGCGGCCGAGTGGCACTGATTCCTTTTCATCGCTCGCTGTTCGTTCCACCATGGTTACCATGGCTGACCCGATATTGAGCACGCTTGATACATTGGCGGGGTTCAATGCTGGCCACGGCCATTCGGAGGCAGACATCATGTTTGGCCTCTGAGCTGGCGTGGTAGTCCGGTCAGTGCTCGTGTCCGATCATCTGTGCAGTGGATGCTTTCCTTACCCATTCCTCGACCGGCGTCCAACACCGATTTCCTTTCAGCGCTCGCCATTTGTCCCGATATCGTTGCTATGGCTGGGCTTGCATTGCGCATTCCGGAATACATTGAAGAGGACCGATGCCAATCATGGCATGCGAAATGGCCATCATATTCTGTCGCTGCCGGCGCGGTATTGCCGGCCACTGTTCGCCCGTGCACTTAATGCTTTTCAGGCCCCGTGCCATTCCCGGACATCGTGAAACTGACCGTCAACAGCGCCCCGGGTCGCGTCAACATTTGGCCGAGGGGTATTTGCGTCACCTCGAGCAGAGTGCCGCGCTGCATTGTACTTTAGGTGACCATTCACGCTTGCTTGATGGGGCCGCCTGTTTGCTCTTTTTGCCGACATGGGATTTGGGACTATATATGCATTCCGTTAATTTATTAACGCGGTTATGAATGCAATATGGTCTCAGCAGCATTATGCGCGCCCTAAAACCCCAGCAAACAATAAAAGCCACGGCACGAGCCGTAACTACGGAACTCAACGTGAAGTAAGATGTGCTTTGGCTTAACAATCTATCGACCGAGTTTTTGCCATCTGTTGGGCCCTAAATAGGAGTATTCCATGTGAGTTTCGCAGGCTGTTTTGATATAAAGATAAATGACATTGATGCTGGTGCAGCTGCTGTAAGCAGGGCTGCACCAATGCCTCGGGGCCTAGAAGTATTATAATTCAGGTGTTTCATTGTGAATTACTTAAATCTGACAAGTACGCAGCGTGAAAGTAGTAATACCCGCCGCGCAGTCCGCAGAACTAACGATCTTAAAGGGAGTAAGAGCTATGATGGGACTAGCCTCACAGAGACGTCTGGCAAGTCAGTGGCTCTCAGCGCCCCGATTTCTTGGCAGTCATCCAAGTCCAACGAGGAGGTGTGCAGTGCGCACCATTTTGACTAGGTGAAGAGCATGACATCACTTCCGGGGCGCAAAGCGGCCCACGTTTATCGTCCGTGCAGCCGCCAAACCTTCAGGAAATCCGTCTGGCAGCGGCCGACCGGACGTACCCAGCCGTCCCTGACACGGTGTCAGGGACGGCCGTCCCTATCGCTGTACCTGATCCTGAGCCCCCCCCCCCCCCATCCCACCGGCCGCCGCCGGGGCTGCCAGAGGCTGGTTCGGGTCGATCTGTGCCCCACCCCGCGCTGTCGGCAGCCTGTGTGACGTTTGATCGGATCTGTATCCGTTTGACTCTCCTCACGGTGTACAGGACTGCCCGGCGGGGATCCAGTTCCTTATCGACCCCATCCCCGCCGCCTGCAGGATGCCTGCCGTCCGTACAGATCCGGATCTGACTCCCCGCCGTCGGCGAGGCTGTCTAACGCTCATCCATATCGGGATCTGGCTCCCTCTCATCCGTCTGCGCGGCTATCCGACACTCATCCAGGTCCGCATCCGTCTCACTCTCCCTGCCGTCGACAGGGCTGCCTGGCGCCGATCCAGATCCGGATCCCGCCCGGATCGCTGCTGGACCCGTCGGAGACGGCGGCCGTCGTCGGCGGCAACGTGCTCACCTCGCAGCGTATCGTCGACGTGGTGCTGGGAGCCTTCGGCGCCTGCGCCGCCAGCCAGGGCTGCATGAACAACGTCACGTTCGGCGACGACCGGTTCGGCTACTACGAGACGGTGGCCGGCGGCGCCGGCGCGGTGGGTGGCATACGCCGGCGTGAGAGCCGCGTCTGTCGGCGGGGTTGCTGGCTGAGGTGGGCATCGTTGGCGCAAAGGCATCACTGCGTTCTTGAGTGCGGGTAGTCACTTGTCACTTTGTTGCGTCTGCTTGATTGGGTGATTCCGAAAGGTAGGGCGTATACGGGAAACCGATAGCCAGTTGGCATGAACACTCCAAGCATGTCGTGTCGCTGCATTGCTCGGCACCAAGGACCACCGTGGTCTGCAGCGACCGTGACTCGCCGCGTGGCCCTCCGCCAGGGCCCCTCCTGGGACGGCCGCAGCGGTGTGCACAGCCACATGACCAACACACGCATCACCGACCCGGAGATCATCGAGGCCCGCTACCCGGTCGTCGTGCAGCGCTTCTCGCTGAACCCGGGCACCGGCGGCGCCGGCCGACACCGGTGAGCCGGGCGCCCGGTGTCCCCGGCGGCTGTCCCCCTACCTCCCTGTCGCGCGCCCGCCCTTCGTGTCCTGGCTTGCGTCAGCCGTCGGAGCAGCCAACCGGTGCAGTGGAGATCGATGTGCCCAGTCTGCATTCGACTGGAGAAAGAGCATTAGGCGTTTGGCGTCCGTTCCGAGTCCAGTGGAATCGACCATCTGCTGTGCGCCCACAGTCGTCCATGGCGTCTCTGGCGGCGTGTTGCGTTGCATTCCGCGGCCATGCCATACATGCCATGCCGTCTGATGATCGTGAGGTGTCCATCTGCCGGTGTTCGGAGGGATGACGTGTCGTCCCCGTGCCCGGCTCCCCGTCGGGCCCGTGGGACGTCCGTGGTGCCCTCGCTCGTACGCCGGTGAAGCGGCGGCGCCTGGCCCACCTCCTGCCGATCGCGGCGCGCCGGCGCCGGGTGGAAGCGCTGTTACGGCTCTGACCTGACCCGACCTGACCTGACCTGACCTGACCTGATCCACAGCGGCGGTGACGGCGTGGTGCGCGAGCTGCTGTTCCGCAAGCCGCTGACGCTCTCCATCCTGACCGAGCGGCGCGTCTTCCAGCCGTACAGCCTCGACGGTACGTGGCCGGCCGGCGGTGCCGTGTGCTACCGCGCTGTCTCCCCCCGCGTGGCCGGCCGGCGGTGCCGTGTGCTCGTGAGCCGCCCCGGCCCCGCGTGGCCGGCCGGCGGTGCCTTGCGCTCGTGAGCTGCCCCGGCCGCCCGTGGCCGGCCGGCGGTGCCGTGTGCTCGTGAGCCGCCCCGGCCCCGCGTGGCCGGCCGGCGGTGCCGTGTGCTCGTGAGCTGCCTCGGCCCCGCGTGGCCGGCCTTCGGTGCTGTATTCACCCATATTGTCTCGGCCTCGCGTGGCCGGCCATGGGTGCCGTGTGACCCCGCGCCGTCTCCCGCGCGTTGCCGACTGGCGGTACCGTGTGCCCCCGCACTGTCTCGGCCCCTGCTGGCGTCGCTCCTGCGCTGTATGTAGCGAACTGGTTGCCTGGGTGGGAAGGTAGGGCGTTTCGGTTGGTGGGGTTCTCGATAGCGCTGCGGTGTTTTAACCGGACTACGTATTGCAACGATTATTCCCAGCATTTTTCGGGTTCATATATGTTACATACGACATTAGCAACGCGCATTACTCGCCGCGACCCAGATGAGATGTAACCTGACATTGAATTTTGCTCCGCTTGTGGGTTGTGATGTTGCAAAAGGTAGAAACCTATTGGGTGAATGTTTTGATATGATAGTTGAAAAGCAGGAGCTCGAGGCCCTCCTTGCTAGTGTATCTATGCTGTCAGGATCAGGCCAGCGTAATAAGTCTGACCTAATACAATTATGTTATCTGCAGCGCCATAGAGAAGCCTCTGAATGTGAATGCTGTCGGGATATCATCAGACCAATCTATCGCTTGTGACGCTCTTCACATGGCCACCACGTTGGCTGTCGTCAGCGGCGTGTGAAATCCCTGATTTTCCGAAAACGTTGGCACCGGGATGTGCCGGCGCAGACGCAATGTTGCGAGATGTGTGGCGCATTACCGTGCTGGCCAGCTGTCAGCAGCAGTATCCCGCACCTGCTCGCTGCATTTCGAAATGGGCACGTCGGGTTTGGCGTGCTAGTTTTGTATGCTGCGGGTGCGCTGTACCGGCGAAACAAAAATTGTAATTTGGGCGAGGCTCGGGAGTTGTTTTCTGGGCAAGTCGACTGGCTTGGTGCCCTCGGGGCAGTGCCAGAAGGGACTCGTGAGTGATGCAACTTCCTTGGAGACGCTGGAACTTTGTTGTGCAAAAGCAGGTTTTGGGAAGTATGAATTAAACGGCTGCGTCATGCCGAACGAACTTCACATATTCAATGTTCGTACCCTCCAACTCCGCGGTTATGCGGTGAATGAGACGCCCTACGTTGATGCCACTCGGCTGTATTTGTGGACATGTTTTCATTACTGTACCCATGCACGTATTTCCGTCGCTGTATCTCCGTACGTATTTCCGTGAACTGGGCTGCATCTAGCACTCCTGACGTCATTAAGGGAGGTATTCAGCCCATCATCCCCACTGGGAGCAGCTGCACTGAATTGGACTTCCTCGTTGCACCACGTTCCTCGAATCAGAGGTCAGACGCGATTAAAACCGAACTATGCCGCTCTAAATCGGAGTTCAGACGAGCTCCGTGTATTGGCAGTCTGATTGGAATGGGGCGCCGCTCAGATGACGCTGCGCATCCAAAGATGAGCTCCGTGTATTGGCAGTCTGATTGGAATGGGGCGCCGCTCAGACGACGCTGCGCATCGAAAGACGAGCTCCGTGTTTTGGCAGTCTGATTGGAATGGGGCGCCGCTCAGATGACGCTGCGCATCCAAAGACGAGCTTCGTGTATTGGCAGTCTGATTGGAATGGGGCGCCGCTCAGATGACGCAGCGCATCGAAAGACGAGCTTCGTGTATTGGCAGTCTGATTGGAATGGGGCGCCGCTCAGATGACGCTGCGCATCCAGAGACGAGCTCCGTGTATTGGCAGTCTGATTGGAATGGGGCGCCGCTCAGATGACGCTGCGCATCCACTCGGCTGTGGAGACCATCGGGTGTGCAGTGCGCATCACATGTTGGGCTCGCGTCGAGTGCGGCGTTTGCAGGTCGCGAAGTGCGGAGTGGTGCGGCCAGAGAAGGATCTCGTTGAAACAACGAACGGAGACAGAGCGCTGTCTCCACGGCTCTTGCTCCGCACCGGGGGAGCGAAGCGGAGAGGTGTTAACTCATTGTGTCGTGTGCGCCCCTGCCTGGGCGCACGAGTAATACAATGACATGTGTGCATTTATTAGTACCGGAGACAAATATGCGCATGCTGTTTCTTATTTGAGAAGTTGATTTTGCGCTAGGTCTCGGTCCTCGGCGCTGGCTGCATCCGTTCAAACGCGTGCTGCAACTGGAGTGTGGCAAATCCTGGGGCCAAACGGCAGGTCAGCGACGTCATCTGCTCATCCGGTCGTGGCATTTGGTCGCATGTTTTCGACAATATGGGGTGCATAAGGGATCAGGAATGCTGTTTATTTAACTTCCAAATCAGGCCAAAACATTTACCATGTAGCCTTGAATAGCTCCAGCGAAACCCTCGCCGGCGGTGTGGTCAGGCCGTCACCGGACCGACACGGGCGCCATGTTTATCCGGCGGCGCGGTCACACCAGACACGGCGCCGTAAGGCCGACGCAGCTCTCAGCTGATAATGCGGCTTCACGCAGCTCGGCAGGGTCACGGCCAAGGTAACTGTGTGGTGTATGTGTGCGTGTGTATGTGTGGGAGGGGGGGGGGGGTTGGGGGGGTGGGAGGTAGGGGTCTGTTGGGGGGGGGGGCTAATAGCGGGTATGGCATGCCGCGCCACAAGGTGCTCACTCAATGCAAATTTAGGTGTGGTCATGGAGCTACATTATTTCAAACATTGCTTCAGGCGTCAAACATTTCGGGCACTTTAAGTCCGGATTTTTTTTGCTCAGTGTGCTGTTTAAAAGGAGAAGGCACAATTGGATTAACGAATTTCGTTGAGCCATCGCAGTGCTGCACGAAGTGTCGCGCTGGCGCCACGTGGGTCAGCAGCTAACCTAAGGCCCCCAAAGGAACTGTGGGACAAAGTTTCGCTCAGCATTGCCAGGGCTGCAGAACTAGCCTTCAAGCGTGAGTGAAGTGCGACTGGGAGGTAAACGACGGGTCGCTGTTTTCTCGCGTTTAGAGGATCTCGTCGCGCCCTACTGGCTCAGCTGCGCCGACCACCAGCGTGGCCCGGCGGCGTCCCACGGCTCGATGCTGAGCCTTCGGTTCGGCCGCGTGTGGTGAAGTCGCACGCGAAAGTCGTCAGTTGCGTGCGGTGGTCTTCAGCGGCTGGAGAGGCGCCGGCGCCGCCGGTTCGTGGTCTTGCAGTTAGGGACGCGCACGGTGTCGACGCCCCCTGAAGCGTCTTAGGCGACGGCTATTGCCAGACGGCACATGAATCGGTACCGATCATTGCAAGGCTTGTCGCCGAGGTCGCCGCGATTGCTCAGGGCGCAGTTTTCGTCGACGCCTCCGCCGGGGGAGCCCGGCCGCCAGGCGTGCCCCCACACGGACCCGTCCACCGATCGCCACTCGCCCTCGGCCGCCTCGTCGGTGACACCCACCCAGAACTGTTCGAGGCCGGCCTGCCGGGCGTAGGCCTCCATGACGGCGGCCGTGACGGCGTCGGGCGCGTGGGCCAGGCGCGCGCCCGCCGCCAGCTGGCCGCACTTCTCGTCGGCCTTGACGAACGGCTCCTTCTGCGGGTGGAGCGTGAAGCAGTGGGTGGCGGTGGCCAGCCAGCCGGCCGGACAGCGGCGCGGGAGGTGCGTCGGCAGCGGCGCCTCGCAAACGGCCGCCAGCCGGTCCGTGAAGACGCGAGTCGTCAGCTTGTCTGTGGCGAACCCCGCGCCGGTGCTGAGGCTGCCGCCTTCGTCCGCTTCGATCTCGATCGCGCTGCCGAAGGCAGTGCCGTCCTCGTTTCGCCAGGCGCCCGTCTCGAAGGTCGGACTCAGCCACTCGGGCGCGGCCGGCCGGCGGGGGTCGTGCAGCAGGAACGCCAGCTCGGGCTCGTCGTTGATCGAGACGAGCTGGGCTGGCGGGGACAGCTTCCTGCAGGCGACGCGCGACTCGCTTCGGGAGCCCAGCGCGGCGGTCCGGAAGTAGCAGCTGTCGTTGAACGCGGCCCAGTCGGGCGGGCAGACGGCGCCGCGCTGTCAGGGCACCCGACGCTCGAAGCTGACCTCGACGCTTTCGTCGGCCGGCGCCGACGTCGGGCGATACTGCAGCACGTCCAACAGGTCGCACGCGCCGGCCGGGCCGCGCCTGAAGCCGACGCAGAGCTCGGGCCCCAGCCGGGTGCAGAGGAGCGCGCAGCGCAGGCTGCTGACCGCCGGCAGAGAGACGGCCGCCTCGCTCGTGATGGGGCTCGCGCTGCGGCTGAACACGTCGCCGGTGAGGCCGGCGGCCAGAGCCGGCAGCAGCAGGGTCAGCAGCCACATGGCGACGCCGCCCGCGGCCGTGTCTCGGGCTGCGCTGGGGGTCGCCGCGGGTCCGCGCGCACCGGCTCGGAGTGGGCCGCTCTGATGGCCGACTGTCGGGCCGTCTGCTGGCCGGGTGCGGGCGTGCGCTCAACGACGGGTGGTCACGTAACGGCTTGTCGCGTCCGTGCAATGCTGTTCCGGGTCAGAAAGAAAACATGCGAATTACTGGATTCGCCACACCAAGCAGCTCTGAATCGTAGACTCGTGAACCTGATTGGCCAAGGAACGATGCCACTGCATGGCTTACGTCACGCACTCTAACGGAGCTGTGCGGTGAAAAGGAATCGGCCCAGCGCCTATTGGATGGCACAAATCTGGAGCACATACGACATGGTACGCCATCAGTGGCATTTCGACACACTCCGCTCAATGGTCATTCTGATGAAAGGACCACAAAAATGCGTTAGCCCTCATATGCTAGCAGGTATAGAACCAAAACGTACATCACGTGATGACGCCATCACTGGCCTTGGCGTACACCCCCTCCTAAGCAGTCTTCCATTAAGACCTTTCATCAAAATCTCATTGGTGTAAATATATCCGTTATGTAGCTCACTCGGCTGTCAGCTTTTGAGACTGAGGGGTGACGTTTGATGGTGCTGCGTTGATGCATCGCGTGAGCCAGGTCATCTATTGGTGGTGGTTCAGAGCGGCTGAAGACGGTACGTGCCCCCCCCCCCCCACGGTCCTCGATAAGGCATTCCTAGGAAACGGCGTGCAAAAGTGCGGTAAGCGGCAGAATAATGTACCACGATCTGTATGGTACTGTGCAGCATTGAGCCCTGAACAAAACAAAAGAGCTCGGAGCTCAGGTAGAATGACGGACTGTAGTAGGTGCGAGAAGCGGAAAATGTAGTGGATTGGAAGAATGTTAAATTATCGCGGTAAAAGCATTGTTATTGCAGCGAGTGACTGGCGAAGATCTTCCCTATCAGAAATCGCTTTAATTGATGCGCCTATGTCGTCATTGTCTATGATAAGCGTAGGTAATGAATCCATATATTTTACGTTTCAGTTGCGCAATGTTTTCTCGTTTGGGCGAGGTTGCCAATTTGTTTCAAGCGTCCTTTCTTCGTTGTCGGTTTGGTCAGTTTCGTAGCAACAAGATGCCAACCAATACGTTTCGGCATTAATTATTCCGAAGCTAGTAAGGTCTGGTTCTGTCCATTCCAGCCTTGCTAATTCACAAAATACGTGGTCTGTTAGCACGATACAAATTTGTAAAATAGTGTCGTTGTAATTGGACTCATAAGTTAACCGCCTTACCACAAACTTTTTTTGCAATCACACTGAAATGAAAACACGCCCCACTAGTCAAATGAAAAAAATCAAATACCTCTGCGTGCACTTTTTACAACGGACTTTCAAAACTGAGCACCGCTGCAGGGTGTCGGCTCAGGGGGGGGGGGGGGGGGTGTCCGCGCGGTGGCCTTCCACCGTCGCGTGCGACGCGACGATCTAACCAGCATCTGAAGTGTCGTCAGCAGACCTGACCCGGCTGTGGCGTCAGCAGACCTGACCCGTCTGTGGCGGCAGCAGACCTGACCTGGCTGTGACGTCAGCAGACCTGACCCGCCAATAACATCAGCAGACTTGACCCAGTTGTGACGTCAGCAGACCTGGCCCGGCTGTAACATCAGCAGACTTGACCCGGCTGTGACGTCAGCAGACCTGACCGGACCGTGCCGGCAGCAGACCTGACCCGGCTGTGACGTCAGCAGACCTGACCGGGCCGTGCCGGCAGGGGGCGCTCCGGGAGCTCGTGGCCAGAACCTGCTGCTGAAGCACGACGGTCGGACCATCAGCCTGGGCGCCAAGACGTCCGTCCTGGTGTCCACTGGGGTGAGTGACCTGCCGCGACCGTCCGGCGGCTGGCGGCGCCCCTCTCCCCTCCTCCCGCTCCAGGCTGGGCTAGCGGGGGTAGCTGCGGTAGCACAGGGGGTAGCGGGGCTAGCACAGCGTGCACAGTGTGGGACGTTGACATTGGGTGTGCTGTTGTCATTGGATTTGAAGCACGGAATGGTTAGTGTTGACCCTGGATGTCAGTGGATGTTACTCTGGAAAACTGTCAGACGGAGCGTCCTGTGTGATGTGTTGGCGTTGATGACGTTGGACCGTTATAAATCAGTGCACACACGCTATCCACGTTTGTTTTCAGCTAGTTTTTAGTCCAACGAGTTGTTCCGAAAGCTCCGTGAGTATGACACTTTTGCAAGGGAAAGACATGTACGTTGCAAGCTTAGACATAGTTAACATCCATCAAAAATAGTTGAATCCTCAGGAAAAACTTCTCAGAACGGACTTGCTATCATGTATATCTGTTGTGGATGAAAAACGAATGGAGGCAACCCATCGTGACTTCATGAATCACTTACAATGGTCCTGTTCACATGAGCGACCTGAATGCTCGAATTCCTTAGGTGTAGATAGAATGACTGAATGCAGTGTAGGTACCAGGCCACATTTGGCCGCTATCTTCTCGCCTATCGACGCGTCTGCAAAGCGCCTGTTGGCCCGGGGCGTGCTGCGACGTGACGACTTCGGACCGTCCTCACGTCAGTGAGCAGAGCTGGCGTTCGCTGGAGTGCCGTCAGGGGTTCAGCAGCAGGGCAGTGGGCCCGTGCTGAGGCATTCTCGTCGCGCGGCCAGGTCACGATCAGTAATGTGGGCGCACGTACTAAGCAGACAGTCCTCAGCGCTTATGCGCCGCCTTGCCCTTGCTGCCGTCCATGATGTGGGAGTTTGCGTGGAACTCCTACGGTCTCTGCGACTCGCGGCATCAAAATTTGATGCGAAGCCCTGCGCCAAGAGCGCGGAAGAACAGAAGATGCGCAGTTTATTGAAACTGCTCCGAAGCGTTTTTGGATGCTGCGAACTTTTAATGCAATGGCGGAAGCAGCCAAAGGCAAAGTGAGCACATGGTAGCCCACTCATCCAGGCGCCTCGATCTGCGCGCCGAGTCCCTTCACGGCCGGCCCGCTCGGCTCTGAACCGGGCGCTTTGGTGGAGCTGAACCGACGTTTGATGGAGCCGGCGCCGGTGGAGCTGAACCGACGTTTGATGGAGCCAGCGCCGGTGCCACGGACGCGGCGGGGTTTGCGGCCTGCGTTGGCACGGTCAGGCCGCCGACTCGCTGGCACACCGCCCGTCACGGCCCGGAAACGTGCCGTCGGCTACACGGGATCAGGGGGGGGGGGGTCGCATTCCCCGGCCATCAAACCGGCTCGTTGACGTGTCACGTTTCGGTTTCGCCAGCCCTTTGAACTGGAGTTCGCTGATCAGCCGGATGACCTCTTCAAGTTTTTACCAAAGTGTCTTTGATCGTCGGGCCGCGCCTCGCGAGCTGGCACAGTTTCCGGTTAATTTCGAGCGTCTCTACATGCAGGAAATAATTTCCGGTGGCGGATGTTGCCCTTGCTGGGTATCGGCTCTTGCACGACCTTTCATATATGTTCCTTAAGAAGTGGCACTCAGGTTCTGATGGGACAACATCTGCCTGGTATTGGACGCTCGGGGAGAGTTTTGCGATCACCAAGTGACAAATAGGATTTACCAAATTTGATTTCTATCACGAAATTGCACTTTTGTTTACCAGCACCAAATCGAAGTCGGTTGACGAAAACTTGCCACCTGAATGGGTCCGGCAGTCAACGTTTTTCGCTTTCCAATTCTGTCATTGAACTCAGCTATTCTGAGCGTTTAATTACGGTAGCCGGTGGAGACATATGAGAGCATTATATGGGGAGTCCCAGTGACGCACCCTCTCGGGTGCTGTTTCACTATGTATAGCTCTTACTTGGGCAGGATATCACTCTCCGGATACAGCGCCTGAACAAATCACGCCGGCTCCACCCGACTGTGCAGCGCTATACACGTGGGGCGTATTTTAAGACATTTAATTGTTCCACGCCCACTGCGTTAATGACGCGGGAGAGCTGTACTTTTTCGCCCATAGTTTCTGTGATCCTTGATGGTTGCGTAGCTCGACGATTAATTTGACCGCGGCTCACGGTATGGATGGAAATTATCGGAAGAAAACGCACGACTTCTGCGTGCCTGTAGCTGGCACCGCCCCGGCTGGAGCCGGACCCGCGGCGGTGACCTCCACTGACCTGTGCCGCGGCACGCCTTTGGCCACCGTCGCCGTGTGGTGACCTCTGTTGACCCGTCCGGCAGGACACGTTCCGGCTGTTGACGCCGGGCGGCGGCGGGTTCGGCTCGCCGGGCGGCCTCAAGCCGGCGGAGGCCTCGGGGGCCGGCCAGGGCGCGCCACGCACATTCCTGGCGCGTGGCAGCCTGCACGACTACCTGCTGGCGCAAGAGTCGGTGTAGTGACGCAGTCAGCTGTCCCGGCAGGTCGTGTCGGAGTCAGCACCACCACCAGCTGATCCAGAAATGGGGGGGGGGGGGGGGGGCTTGGTTTAGCGATCCCTGGTAGTGCAACGATCCGGACCGAATGTTCCGATGGTCGTGTTCTGTATTGTGGGGTGGTCTGGCATGAGATGCATGGTCTTCCGGTGGAATGTGACAAACGGTGCCTTCCGCGTGCCTTGGGATCTGTTATATATCGATCTGAAGCAGGCGCGCGCGTCTGCTTTTTAACGTACCGTTTGGCCGCAGGTAGCGCCCTAGGTGAACGGTTACGCTAGTAGTGTGGGCTAGCATCAGACTGAGACGCTTTTACAACCAGATTTCTACGCATCGTGCGGCGAATGTTAAATGTCAACGAATTTGTATTTGTTGAAAGGAGGCGATGAAAACATTTTATGATGCGGAGCGTTGATAATGCGCCAACTCGCTGTGCTGTTACCCATATGTGGTGTGACGGGGTGCCGGGCAACGCCTTTGCATGTGGGGTTCTTTATTGCAGGTCCTTAGCACCTGGCTGGCATGCGTACAATGCAGTACACAAGTGCAATACGGTATATCAGTGCTGTCACTCTTAGTGGAGTAATACACATTATGGACTGAACGGTCAGATAGTGCAGCTTATATAGACGCAACTTCGGCCGGTGCATTTTGGCGTGGCATTGGCCACCTTTGAAGGTAGTGCTTGTGCGTGTGCGTATACGTGTGCGTTTGCGCGCGCATGCGAACGTGCGCGCACGTATGTGCACATGCGAACGTGCGCGCGTGCGTGTGCGTGCGTGTGCGTGCTTGGTGCGTGCGTGTGTTCCTGGACGACGCAGTGTGGAGACTGGAGCCTGTGTCGGGCCCCGGCCCCGGCCCCGGCCTCGGACGGCTGGACCCTGGAGCGGGCCCCGCCAGTATCAGCCGTGCGCCGGCGTCCAGTCACACCTCATGTTCCGAGCGCGGCGTGTCTGATGCTGGAAGCGCTGGAAGGTCTCCAGAGTGGCCGTCGCGCCGCCGACGCAGGACGCGGCGCGGGGGCGGACGCCGCAGACGCTGGAGGGTCTCCAGAGTGGCCGTCGCGCCGCCGGCGCAGGACGCGGTGCGGGGGCGGACGCCGCAGACGCTGGAGGGTCTCCAGAGTGGCCGTCGCGCCGCTGGCGCAGGACGCGGTGCGGGGGTGGACACCGCAGCATGAGCGGCGCCCGAGGAGCAGTTATGCAGGATTCGGACAGCTTGTCGGGAGATCTGGCTGTGTGTACGCAACGGTAGCGGTAGGTTCCAATAGCGCGGCTCGTTAGGTTTCGTTTATGGCAGGAGGCACGTGCTTGGTCGGTGTGGGTCTCAAACTTCGCGGCCTCCCGCGCTGATGGTAGCGAGGGGGGGGGGGCGGAGCGCCTGGCAGTGGGTCTCGAACCGACACCGTCGCGGCCGCGTGGAGCAGCGACTGAGCGCGGCCGGCCAGCGCTGAGGCGCGCCGCGCCAGTTACACGGCCTGAAGACCGCTCTGAGACGTGAGCCCAGCGTTGGACTGTGAAGACGTCCGGGTCACCGTCGGTCGTAGCACCGAAGTTTCCGCCGTAATAATCCGTGGTGCCGCAGATGACTGCCTCAGACGCGTGATGAATAACGCGGCAAAGTCCAAAGATGAGCAGAGATGCAGGGCCACCTGGTCCAGCCCATGGAGACGTGCAGAGCGCGATAAGACGCACTTGAACGCCACATCACACAGCTATCGTCAGCCTATGTTGTCATAAACCGCATCGTCGAACATGCCATCCAGATACGGTCCGAAGCTGCTCATTGTTCGTCACGGGTGATCATCAGCACGCGTTCGCCGTCGATGCGCCTCGCCATGCAGGCGAAGGCGTGGTACTTCTCACTCTCGGTCAAGCAAGGTTGAGTGACGTCATAAGTAAGCCGGAGCACCGTTCTTCATTGGCAACTGGAAGCCCATTCCCCACTTCGAATAAGCCTTTTCGATCCACCACGTACACTCTGTCCTGACGATGCCACAGAAGCTCGTGCTCTACATGGCCGGGAGGCGATACGGTACGGTAATTCACGGGTTTCCATAGCAACGCCAAGCAATGGTTGACGCGCTGTTGGCGGTCCCGTACGGTGGCAAGTGGGCAGCTCTCAACCGTATTTTGGATGGCGTGAAGGCACTGATAATTTTGACCACAAGTCGTCAGTAACTGCAATCAAATAATGTCCAAGTGCGTCATTGCTGCACGCTATATGTCTTGGTGGCAGCATCGCACGATCCTTCTCTCTTATATTTGGACTTACAGCGTTTTTCAAAGCCGCGTATGACGCACGAACCTGTGACAACTCAGATTGCTGACTCAATGAGCTTGGCTCGGCTATGAAGAACTGGGCCCAGCTAACTGCACCGCGGACCGACCACGGCCACTCGAAATGGTGAACGGTTTTTCACTTGTCAGTGAAGAACGGGGCCCCGGTGTGAATGCAGCACGAACACCACTGGCACCAATATCGAAATCCAAATCCTCACCACGCTAACACGTTCATGAAGATGGGCTTCTTGCCTGCGTCGCGACATCGCTGCTCATGTCCCAGCACCGCGCTCCGGAGGCGCCCGGCGCCCCGCTCCACAAACACACGGTCCGATTGAAAGTCACTTTATTCGCCAAACAGGACTGGAAAGCGCGGGCCAACGGGGGACCGGGGACGGCCAGAGCGGGGCCGCGCGGCGGGGCGTCGCTGCGCCGGCAAGACTCGTGGTAAAGTTCAGCCCCCAGCCGGCCGCGAACCCGCGCCGCTCGCCCTCCGCTGGGACCGCGCCGGGGGCAGTCGAGATCTGGTGCACTGGAACTAGCATCAACTAGCACTCGACTGTACAAACGCCAACAAAACAACACACCAAGAGAGGAACGGTGGGGCCGCGCGGTGACCGGTGACGTCACCGACGATGCCTGGTGACCTCAGTGCGGGCGGCGCCGCACTAGGAAAGGCCGGCCGGCGGGCGAGCTGTGAAGGGCCGGGCCCGGGCTGCGGCCGCCGTCGGACCCGCCTCCAGCCTGGACGGACTGCTCTCGGCCGCCCCGCCCGCCGGGGAGCGCGGTCCGGACGTGACACCCCGGGTTAATCTGATTCCGGGCCGCGACACGTCCACGAAGTAAACCGCGGTTCGTGCCGTCGATCCTGACGGATCACTTGCACGGGCGAGTTGATGCGCCCGATCTGTCGCAAATCTGTGCTACGCATGGGCTGGATTGTTCACCGTGGCCAGTGGCCTGCCTCATCGTGGCGACCCAGTCTGGACTGCGGCCTGCGGCGCCAGCGGCCATTCAGGAGGCCAGCCAACGGTCTGACCACTGTGTATGACGCCAAGGTGATATCCCAGACCCGGCACCAAGGGGGCCGGGTCTGGCTTGCGTCCACCGGACGACGGCGGGGCGCGCCGGCCGAGGGGGCGCGACTGGGCCCCGACTGGACAGGACAGGACTGGGGACCACCGGACAGAACAGGACAGGACAGGACAGGACAGGACAGGGCTCGGCCGGACAGGACAGGACACGACTGAGCCCGACCGGACAGAGGCCGCGGCGCGGAAAAGCCAAGCTCAAATAAGGCACGGAGCTTCAAACCCATTGGCACGCGCGAATCTGCTCTTGAAATGGTGGCACGGCTCAGCGTAGGCGTTCTGTCTCGGTGCGGTGCCGCGTCACGGAATCTTACGGCAGCCGATAGTTACCCGCAAAGAACTGACTGGTAACCCGTCCAAACAAGCACTTCCGACTCACAGCGGCGCACCAAGTGAGAAAAACGCAGCGTAAAGAGAGTGCCACCGACCACTCCTCAGTTGCGCCGACATGCCGGCGCCGAGCATCATCGAGAAACGACGCGGGACGCAGCCTGGACCGCGGCGTGCTCCCACGTCGGATCGGCAGTCCTCTTAGCCAGGGCGAACCGTCCTCTCGGCACGGTAAACAGTCCTCTCGGCACGGCGAACCGTCCTCTCCGGCCTGGCCGGGCGTCCTCTCGCGGGGCGTCCCCTCGTCGCTGTCGGTCCAGCGCCGGCTCGGCAGAGTCCTCCCCGCCGGACGGAGCATGCTCCCGGCCGGGCGTGCTGTCCTCCTGGACCGGGTGTAGCGTGTCCTCCTGAGCCGCGCCGGACCAGAGTCTCGCGCGGACTGGGCCCTCCCCGAGCCGCCTCCGGCCGGCGCTCTCTCTCGCCCCCGCCGACGGGACGCCCCCTGACGCGGGCCGGGCCGGGCCGGGCCGGGCCGAGCTGGCAGGCAGCGGGCGGGCCGGGTCACTGCGCCTGAGGGTCACACTGCAGCAGCCGCACGATGGACGGATCACTCTTGGCGCCCTCCACGAACTCCTCCAGGCTGAGCTTGCCGTCGTGGTTGCGGTCCATCTGGCGGAAGATCTTGTCGGTGCGCTTCTCGGGCGTCGACTCGTCCTCCGGCATCTTCATCAACGGAGCCCCACCATCTTGTAGATGGCCTGCGGACGGGGTCGGGGGTCAGCGGCGCGTGGCGCGGCGAGCCGGCGCAGCGACGCGCGCGACTCAGTGGCCCGAGCCGCCCGCGCCCGCCAGCGTGGCTTGAGAGCAGAAACCCAAGGTGTGTTTACCTGACAGTAGCTAAACGATATGGCTTTCGTGCTGTGTTTGCCAAGGCGTGTTTACCGCGATTTGTGTCAGCCGGGAAAAAACAAATCAGGCTCAAGTGTACCAATGCGGGGAAGCAGCAGACGTCAGCCAACGGAAACTTATCAGGATCAAGTGTACCGATGCAGGACAGCAGCAATGAAGCCGGCCAAGGAAAATAATTTTAACATATTGGTTTGAGCTGATCAAAGAAAGCCTTAAAAACACAACAAGCCATGATGCATCTCAAAACTAAAAACAGCGACCCCTTCACAACAATTAGCGGTTGCAACAATATTCTTCTGGGTTCAGAGCTCTTATGGTGAATTATCGACCCTCAACCATACTGGGAGATACTCGTTCAACAACGTTATATGAAACTCTGGCTATTGATATCAGTATATTAACTTGGTAAAAACAATAATAGCAAAAAACATTGATATTTGCTGAGGACCGACAGGTCGTTGGATTAAACGGATAATCCGCTGTTTTCAGTATCACGCAAAGCACCGAGCGCCAAATCACCAACTCCTACATACATCGACGCCTGCAAGGCAACGTCCACATCACGACAAGAGCAGCGGCTACAGCTTTTCCAGAAGGACTGAGACTCCAAGAGCCGCGATCGTGGACCCCCACGCTCTCACCGTGACAATCTCGAGCATCTCCGGTCGGCTGATGTACCCCGTTGCCGTCCAGGTCGTACATGGAGAAGGCCCCACTTGAGCTTCTGCTCCAGCCGACCCCGTGACGTCACGGACAGGGCGCAGAGGAACTCCCGGAAGTCGATCGTCCCGTCACCGTTGGCGTCGAACGTGCGGAACACGTGCTCGGCGAACTGGCGGCGCAAAGGGGCCGTCAGCGTCCAGCTCTGACACTGCAGAGGGGCCGTCAGCGTCCAGCTCTGATACTGCAGAGGGGCCGTCAGCGTCCGGCTCTAACACTGTATGGCACTGCAGAGGGGCTGTCAGCGTCCGGCTCTGACACAGCGAGGAGCAGTCAGCGTCCGGCTCTGACACTGCAGAGGAGCCGTCAGCGTCCGGCTCTGACACTGCAGAGGAGCCGTCAGCGTCCGGCTCTGACACTGCAGAGGAGCCGTCAGCTTCCGGCTCTGACGCTGCAGAGGGGCCGTCAGCGTCCGGCTCTGACACTGCAGAGGGGCCGTCAGCGTCCAGCTCTGACACTGCAGAGGGGCCGTCAGCGTCCAGCTCTGACACTGCAGAGGGGTCGTCAGCGCCCAGCTCTGACACTGCAGAGGGGCCGTCAGCGTCCGGCTCTGACACTGCAGAGGGGCCGTCAGCGCCCAGCTCTGACACTGCAGAGGGGCCGTCAGCGTCCGGCTCTGACACTGCAGAGGGGCCGTCAGCGCCCAGCTCTGACACTGCAGAGGGGCCGTCAGCGTCCGCCTCTGACACAGCAGAGGGGCCGTCAGCGCCCAGCTCTGACACTGCAGAGGGGCCGTCAGCGTCCGCCTCTGACACAGCAGAGGGGCCGTCAGCGCCCAGCTCTGACACTGCAGAGGGGCCGTCAGCGTCCGCCTCTGACACAGCGAGGGATCCTCGGCGTCCGGCTCTGTTGTCATTGGGGTTTTACGACGCACTCAGCTGCCGAGGCTTATACGGCGTCGCCCTGCCTCTCACCCTGGCAGGCAGGGCGGGCACCGCGGGGAATCGAGCCCCGTACCTCGGTTTCCCAGAGGCGCAGTGATTAAGGCAGACGCGTTTAAGCCTACACCCACCAGCCCCTCAGCGCCCGATTCTGATACCACGAGGGGCCGCCAGCGTCCGGCTCTGACACCGCGAAGGATTGTGGCCGTCTGTCCCGCCTGACACCGGGGGTTTGTCGCTGTCGTCTGGGCTCACCGATTGTGGCTGTCGTCCGGCTCCACGCCGAGGGACTGCAGCTGTCGTCGGCTCTGATACCCACTTGTGGCGTCGTCCAGTCTGACACGAGGGATTGGGCTGTCGTCAGCTCTAACACCGCAGGATTGGGCTGTCGTCCGCCAACAGCGCAGACACCGGAGGAACCTGAGATGACCACGAGTCATCACGCGAGAGGCAGAAACATGCAGCATCGCAAATCAAGCATGATCGTGATGCTGGTAAATATTTTCGGGCGGACGAAAGTACTGGCCACGCAGCCACGTGCGTTCGCTGTCCGAAGCCTGAAGACCGCCGCCCGCGACTTCACTTGGGCCGGTGATCTCTGCCCGGAATACTGTCCAGCTCCCGGCTGGTCCTCAGCGGCCATCCTCGGGGAGATGAGCCGGCCGCCGCTACCCGGCCATCCCCGGTGGACGTCTGAGTCTGGAGCGAGCCCCGTAACGGCGGCGCTCCGTCCAGCCGTCTGGCCCCCCCCGGGCGGGGTAAATAACGGTCCAACTTCGCCGGCCGGCCGGCCCTGCCGCTCCGCTGCCAAACGGCCGAGCGCTGCAATCGTGGAGGCGGAGAGAGCGGGGTCCGCGACCGGCCGGAGCGTCCCCCGGGACTCTCTCCGGAGGTGGGGGGCCACGGCTGCGGCCTCCTACACTCTCCAGAGGTGGAGCGCCACTGACGGCCGTCGAAGCGACGCACCTTGGACGCGTCACCGTAGGGGAAGAAGTTGCCGTAGATTTTCTTGAACTCCTCCACAGTGAGGTTGCCGGTGGGGCAGTCCTTGAGGAAGCCCTTGTACCATTCCTGGATCGGCATCTGGCGATGTGGAACACCATTAGAAAGTTGTAACAAAGGTCAAGGCAAACTTGGCGCATTACTTTTTGCACACGTGCCGTAGGCACACGCCAGACTACCCAAAACCCTTCGTGGATGATCACTGTAAGGACATAGATACAACGCATCAGTCATGATCCACTAAAACAAATGTCGACCTCCGTCGTTAGCAACCCGAAACCTACATCCATCCTAGCAACGCCGTCCGCGGCATCTTTTCCGTGAAACCGCTGTCTTCTAGACACACACACCACAGCACAGCAAACATCCACACACTTCACCCAGCTTCCTCTGACTTTACGTTCCCCTCCCCTTCCACACCCGGCGCCTTAATTCAAGCCAGACAGGCATGTGATCCAACCGAGCGTTCGACGCGAAACGAGTTAAGACGGGTCATAAAAGCGGCAAAAGCTGGGCATCATTCTCGGAAACGAAATCCGCCGCTAATCCTTCGGTTATGAAAGTCGTCGGTGATGGGAAAATAACACGAAAGTACTCGTCAAGGGTGTAGTTAGTGCGTCGATAAGCCGACGTGTCTGGCAACGACCGAGAACATCAAGAACGATCGGTTTTCTTATTGGGCCAAGCTCAGAAATGACGCCAACAAAAAGCGCACGAAACCACGCCAAGAAACTACCGCGATAGCTAACCACGCGACATTTAAATACATCGAGACTGGCTGACGGACTCAAAACACCTCAATCGAACGTCCGGCACGTTTTCCTTATTGCGGCTCGGGCCTTTAATTGCCGAAATATTCATCCAGGTGCCTGCCCTCGACCTCAGATGATTCAAGCAAACAAGACAAGACAGAAGAACGCCCCACGCAGACTTTTTGGCATCAATACCGCTGACATGATGGGTATTTAAGATAGAGCTTAAATAGAATAATGGATGCGCTAGATAAAAATAACGGTTTGGGCTAAATAAAATATGGTTTAGGATAAAAGGAAAAATGGTTTGGGCTAAATGGAATAATGGTTTCGGCTTTAAAGCACTGCGACCAAATTATCGCTCCTTACACAACAATGACGGCATACTTAAGACGGCAACACGGATTAGCATAAAACGCGTCCGGCCGTCTTGACCCTGAGCCTGCCACCGACA